CTCTGAGCTTTGAAGCCAGGGGAGTTAGGGTTTGATAAGATACTAAGATTTACACCAAGGTTATAGTCAGATTTTGGCCTAGAAGAAACAGCTGCCACACACACACACACACACACACACACACAGGCAGTGCTAGGTTTTCCTCCCTCTCTAGGAAAACTGTCTTTCCTCAGGTGGAGCAGGGAGGACCTTGGGAAATGGACAGACTGAGGGACCAATGAAACAGCACGAGAGGCATCAGATCAACCTACTTTGCACATTTCAAAATTGTATAAGACATTGGGTTTCAGGCAGGTAGGTGTTCCCTTTCGTCCTGAAGACAAGTTGAACGGTTTTGCTGTTGAGGGTCAGGGCTTCAGATAGAGATGGAACCCAGAGCTCTGTAATTGCTTTTCTTTAACACTGTAATAAATATTTTAAAGGTTGTTCTGACTTCGACTCTTCCTCAGAAACAAACATGCAGGACGATTAAGTCCAACAGCAGTCACAGCACACAGATGGTTTCCCTGGCAGCTTCCTGAGTCCAGGTTTTCTTAAAGCCTCTGGTGCTTGAGAACAGATATCCTTGCTCTGCACCAGGTCAGTTAATTTAGAATTTGGCTTCTATGCATCCATTTGCAGATACTTTATTTTGGCACAGAGCACACAGTGCAAATGATGAGTTGGTAGTGGTACAATGTGTGGTGCAGAGCTGGGCTCCTGAAGCTGAAGGGTGTTAACTGGCTTGCCTGAACCAACACAGTAGTGAGGTATTGTCTCTGCAAAATGTTCAACAATCAGTTAATGGCTTAGATTGCAGCAGGTCTGTGCAGTAATCTGTGCATCCAGAACAGTGTTTCTATTTTGCAGGTTCTGTTGCCATTTGCCCGCTCAACAAAATCATATAATGAATGTTCTACAGTCAGTGTCCACCATAGTTCTGTCATAATTTGGGCCTTCGCTTCCTGATTTCCTGTGTTTTCCCCCCAGACTTCCCGTCTCTCCTGTCACGTCTGATCTGCACCAGCGCAATCATCGATTACCACCTCCACAATTGCTTATTATCTCACGGACTGGTCTCCCATATACATGCCCTCTTCCCGTTAGATGGTCCAGCCATGCTACAGCATTCGTTGGCCGAATCTCCCGGTGTTCTCTCCAGACTCTTGTTCCTATTCCCAAGTGAGTCAGCTGGCACACCGATGCCATCTCTGCTCCTCTTCCCAAGCGGGTCAGCTGGTACACTGGCACCGCCTTCATTCCTATCCCTCGGCTGGGTTGTGAGAACGTCCCCACTGAGACTGGGACCCCCTGGTGTGCCAAGGAGGACATGCCAGCTCGGGTCTCTGCTCCTGTCCCTGAGTGGGTCAGTCGGGCCACCAATGCTGCCCCCTTCCCTGTTCCTCTCTCATGAGTTAAGATTTGATCTACTGTATGACTGGGCCGCTATAGAAGATGGATTTTCTTCGGAGTGATTCTGGAATAAATACTTTGATGTTTAGGGTCAATGTCCTGCGTCAATTGGTGGACAGCCACCCATCCTGTACCCTGATAAACTCTGGAACTGTACAACATCATGATGCTCCCTCCACCAGACTTCACCACTGATGATGTTTTCCTGTTGGGATGCAGTGCCCTTTTGAGACCATATATAGTGCAACCATGCACCATGAACTGTGTATAGCAAAATCATGAACAGAGTTGTTATTTGACTGCAATGATTTGTTTAGCCTGTAGCTGGACTCTTGGCTTCCTTTTTAAACCTCATTGAGCACTCCAGGCGACTGTGGTTCAGTCTGTACAGCAGTCATCTCCCAACCGCAGAGTTGGAGCTTCGAATTGCGGTTCTTGCAGTCCATCTGTCAAAGTGTCCATGGGCAAGACACTGAACCCCAAGATGCCCCTGATGGTTGGAGCCATCGGTGTGAGTTGGTGCTGCATGATGGTTGCCTCGATTCTGTACCGGAAGCAAATTCCTTATGTGTGTAACATACAGATAAAGTGATTATCCTTATCCACTCTACATTGTGCCTTTGGAGTAATCCATTTTTTGTGACACATCATCAGATGCATCTTGCAGCTCTAACTCACACCTCTGGTTTGTTTCATTGATTAAACTCCAGGTTTGCCCATTATCTTGTGTTGATATCATTAGCCTAGGAGTTCACATACTGTAGTTTTCCCACCCCTCACTGAATATTTGAATGAGAACGGTCTGACTGTGAATGTGAAGTCTCCTCCCAGATGGTGGCACAAAGCAGTGCTTAGTAAACTGGCCTTCAGGGGCTGCAGGTTCTTATTGCCTTCTGTGCTGCCTTTAATTCAGACTCCTAAAATAGCACACGGGTTAAAACACAATATTGATGGTCTTCTTGAAAAGACTGGAGCAAGAGAGAATTCTTTATGTGTGATCTGAAGTGTCCATGCTGATGCAGAACATGTAGGGATGGTTTATTTTTTGCTAGATACCTGACCTGATGCAATATTATTGGGGTTATTATTGGGGTGTTATCAAGCAGGGCACTGTTATATCTGCAGTTGTTGAATCTCTCAGTGACTGGATCTTGGGCAAAATGTTTAATTAGCCGTGCCTCCTTTCCAAAATCTCTTAGCAGCTTCTTTTATAATGTTCTGATGTTGTAAGAAATTATCCCCACAACAATGTGCCCACTCTTTTAGGCATTTTTTTTCAAGTGCTCGCCCTTGTTTTAAAGTCTGGTGACAGTTGAGTCATCTCACTTCCCAACCAAACAGTAATTAGAGGCCTCACATTGCTGAAAACAATATGATAGTAGTGTGTGTGCATTCAAGAGGAAGAAATGTGCTGCTGTTCTCTTTTATCAGCCTTGAGACTTTCATTATAAATGCTGCTGTATAAAAATGCTTTGAAACAACCGTGTGCAGTTTTATGAAGCTGAACCTGAGTAACAAAACATTATTTCATGTAATGCAAAAAACGAGTATTATGTAATTTTTAGGGGTAATTCCTAGCTCTGGATTTTAATAGCATCCAGGAGGAAAATTCCAACATCTGTACTGTATATTAACTATGGCTTAAAATTGAAATTAGGTCATCATGTCCTGAAAGAAGAAACATGTCTTTCTTGAAATTTTTATTCCCAGGTAATAAAATGCACTCTCGTTGAACTGAATATGCTACACTCAGGTGTTCTACTGGCACAGCCTAGCTGATTTCTAGTGTATGGTAGCTAATCTTAACTACAGTTAACAATAACTGACATTATCCAGCCAATAATGTAGACATTTCATGACTCTTCATTACTTGTACTATTGCTTTGTTTTAACATGTACTATGAATCCATACCTTTGGACAAACTGAAAGGGTCTGAAAACTTGTGAAAACTAAATGCTATTGTGTAACTGGTATACAGTCACCTTAATGCTTTATTTGTAATATTACAATACATTTTGGCTTTTGTCATTAGTTACTGTTATCGTAATAAAACACACTCTTGACCAGTTACTACAGTCAGACTGCTATAGTCTTACATGGGTGCATGACCATTAGGTCATGGTGGCTAACTTTACCCCTTGTTAGGTAATAAAAAATAATTTTTCGATGTAACTGGCGTTATTTATATAGCTTGCTGACATTGTGGTAGTTCTCTACTTGTGCTACTATTAAGGTTTTAGTATTTAACATCTTCCAGTAACTGTCACTTTGGCTACTGTGTTCAGCAAAAGTTACACCTTGTCACTTTAAACAGTATCCTTAAATAAACTTTTTACTCACTTTTTTATTGCAATCTTAGGGATAACCACATTTTCCTTATACATCTGCATGAAAATTTAAATGCTCCTGATTAACTGATGTGGGTTTGCACCAGTGCCACTGTGAGATGGAAGCCTGTGTGCTTGCTGTATTATTCAGATGCTTTTAAAAACAAGTCAACTCAATTACAGGGGTTTTACTAGAAATATCATGTCCTGCCCTGCTAGCTCAGGAGTAACATCTCAGCTCAGGAGCAGGTTAAACCTCCCACCCTGAATTAATTTGGGAAAGATAAAAGGTTATAACAATGGAATTGAAACGATTGTTAAGCTTAAGGTTTGTAGCTATATTTTATTACAGGCTTTATGTAAAAGGCTCTGCAGTCATGTTTCTATTGACATTTAAAGTTTCTGAGACACCACGACATTATCTTTTTGTGACATGTCTAACTAGACGATCTCTCTTTTAGATTTACCTTGGTCTTTTATTTTAAAGTGTTTCCTTAGTTCATTTTTACATAAGTTATTTTGTTGATAATCCATATTTGGACCTATTCAAACTTGTAAGTTTCATTTTGTGGGCAATCTTTTTTTTAATCCTGATGTTTGGATGATTAACTGCCCAAGGAACAACTGAATAACAGGAGATAAACTGAACTGTGATAAAAACATTTTTAACATTTATATCAACTTGAACTTTAAGCCAGACTTTGTCCTGTGTAGTGGTTCAGGTTTGCTTCAGCAACTCCATGAGAGAGGAGATGCAATTGTTATGGTGCCTCAGGCAATGTCTGAAAGTACAGATTCAGCAATATCACTCTATTCAGTCCTTAAGTCATTTTCACTACAGAGTTGAGAGAAATACAGCCGTCTCACTCGGTAGTACAGCAAAACCACCAGTATGTCTGCCATCTTCTGCTCCAATACACCCTAGGCAATACATTTGCAGGGAAAGCATTCTAAGTTGTAGTTGCTGGAGTTAAGTTGCCCAACACTGGCAACCAACCTTTAGCATCTCACTAAACATGTTTTACATTGTACCCCATGTTGTTCTTGTTGTAACTGAATCCAAGCTTAATTCTTGTTATGCTTTATACTAGTGAAAAAGTGAGGGAGGAGCTTAAACTCAAGTTCCATACCAATGTGACTTTAATAAAGCAGTGGTTCCCAAACCTTTTCTGTTGCATCAGAGTGTAAGGCAAAAGACCACAGGGTCATCTTTTTCATCATGGCACAACCTTGGTAGTTGCTTTTGAACAAAATTAAGTTCATGCAATTGTCAAAACTGATTTTATCTTAAGACATTTTATTGATATTTTCAATTGACAGTATCAGCCAAAACAAACATATAACAAAATCATATAAGAAGAAAAAATCTTCAGGAAATAGAAGTGGAAAAATCATTATCAGCTCCATCAGACTGTAAATTAGATAAATTCCAACATAGCTGTCTGCTGCTTCTTTGACTATATATGGTACCTAATGCAAAATTGATAGCACAAAGGATTAGTGGGGTCATTGAAGCTGGTGTCAAGGCTCAGGGGTATATCAACAGGTCATAAGGTAATTTCTGTGGAATAAGGGGGTTTGCGCTTTTGGTTAGGAGTTGCAAGTCAGGCACAGCATGGACAGCAGGGATGGGACTGAGGTCAGAAACATTAAAGAACATGGGGGAGAGTTGAGAAGGTGAAATGCTAGATGTTCCAGACAGGGTTGAGAGGTCAGCATACAGAAAATAAGGGTTGAAGGAAGAAGAACTGTTGAGTACTGACAATGCACTTATTCATTCTATTGTAACTTTGGGTGGGGGGTGGGGGGCAGCACAGGCACCTGGGACATGTTGCCAGGTAGCTGGAAGAGGATGTGGTCTCGGGAAAGCAGGGCAGGCAGAGAAAATGATGATATGCAACAAGTGGAGAGTCACACAATTGGCTCCCTGCAGAGGATGATTTCCAGCTCCCCACGGTAGAGCTTCCCTCCATCAGACAGGCTCATGATGCTCTGCTTGTACCCTGTCAGGTCTTTCAAGTCCACCTCCTGAACAAGAGACAGGTTTGGGGAAGCATCATTCCATCAGTACAAATACAATCAATTTGGGCATGATCACATTGCTCTGTAGTGCTACCAGTGGACTAGTACCGTTAAAGACAAACTATAGATCTCTCAGGATAAATTGTGATGTCACAGTTAGGTTAGCAAACAGCTCATTTGACAACTCGAGTTGTTAGAGCTGTGAAACTACAACTCAGTGCAGTACATAACTTTATTAGAGTATGTTATTAACTATTATTAGAGTAGTTTATTATTAGAGTATGTCAAAGATCACATTTGTAGGTGATATAGGTATTTATTGACACTATTTGTTTGGCATCAAGTACTATAATGGAAATAGATTTTATTGTGTTATTATTGTCATTTGTTTGTTGTGAGTGATTCAATGTGCTATACAAATTCTCATAATGTCAGCTAAACCAAACTCAGCTCAACTCAAGATCAAGGCATCAAGATGCGGGGGATTTTTGTTTGTTGGTTTGTTTTTCTGACTTCACTCCTTGCTAACAAGTAGCAAGACAGAGCACTCCAGTGATGTCACAAGACATGCAAATGCACCTTCAGCTCATCCTAACATTGGTTTGACAACCTTTCAGTAAAAACAAAAGTGAAGCCAAAGCATCATCATTGCAGGGGTGGCCATCTTGCTTTTGTGATGCATTCTGCAACCATATTCTGTGCAGTAGCAACCAGAAGTGGATTGGCCGCATCAGACCACCAATCAAATCTGTCAAATCACCCAACATGCCCCCCCTTTTTATATCATCAAATAACTTATAAAAAATTGTTTTCAGAAAAATAACCACTTGTGCACACATCGGTGTGATAACATCTACCAGAAATGACAGAAATCACCTCTGGAAATAATTTATTTGCTTTGTACTATGACTTTTTATTTTGGCTCATGTCCCATCCTCTAACATAGAGGGGTTTATGACCTATACTGCAGCCAGTCACCAGGGTGTGATTGACTGGTGGTGGCTTCACATCTGGGAGCTATCATGTCATCCATTTTTATATACAGTGTATGGTTCTGATATATGGTAGATAAATACAGTATGCACATGGAGTAAAGAGCTCCTTGAGGAGCTACAGTATATCAGGTATCAGAAGTTGCAAGCTTGGTCCAAGTCTAAAAAGTACATGGTGCATACAGTATGCCTTTGGGCTACAGTTATGTATTGGTATACAAAATACCTGTAAACCTTATCTCACCTTCTTGTTTGTTTGGTAAAGGTCTCGTAGTAGGGCATCCAACTCCTGTTCATCAATGTATCCATTTCCATCCTAAAAGAATCACACAACAAATGTAATTTTCATCTCCAAACAAACAGAAAGAACTGCAGTCAGATTTCTGGAATGATCTCGAGACAATAAGCAGACTCTGTTGCTCAGCTTCATTCAGTCTTTTATGGCAGCCATCATGAATGAACCAGTCAAGTGGCCATTCATGAATGACAATTTTAAAAAGACTTGCCATTCACAGCTCTGTTAGTGGGGTTAGCTGTAAAGTCAATATGGAGTCCATTTTCTAATTAATGAGTTATGTCTCACAGTAGCAATAAGAGTTGGGGGCCAGAAAAAAATTCCCTTTAGCAAGTGGCAGAAAATCATGTTCTGTTCATTTAGACTTTGTCTCAAGATGATTTCGGAGCTTGCCAGTCTTATTTTTCACTTTGGGAGATGCTCTTTGATGTATACAAAGCTAGACTGAACTGTCCCAGATACTGACAATAAAGTGTGAATTCTAATTATTTTGCCTTTAAGGAAGAAAGACCTAGGACTCTGCAGACTTATGGACAAGCAAAGCAACAGCACGTATCAGCCAGTCTTACTAAGTTGTGTGCCACCTTGCATTTTAGACATTTTCAAGGCCTCACACTATCTAGGGTTAGATGTTAGGTTAATCAGTATACCACCCTTGGAGTTAAAGCTGGAGAGACCAAACAGAGCAGTCCTGCACAGCAGTGGGGTGGGGGGTTGTGTGCATGTTCATGTCTAGGGTTGGACTGAAGGCTTGTACTCTCTCTAGCTCACTTGCAGAGGACAGGGTTGAATGTTCTATTATAGATGAGTCACTGCAGTCCATTCATGTAGACACTTGCTGCAAATGGAAGTACTACTATTTATGTCTGTAATTAGTTTCATCATTTTGTTATGAGCTCGGCCCCTGCAGCTGTAACACAGGCAACTGCTGACACTGGTACTGAGGGACTATGGGCAGGGCAAAGTGTGGCCGGTCAGCCAAACACTAACATGGCTCACAGCGCTCACAGTGCTCACAGTGCTACAGCCCTAAACTGTGTTAAGAATTCCATTAAAATTCAAAGCAAATGTGGTTCTAAATATATTTGGCCATTTTTCATACATTGTATATAACATACATATGTACACATATACAAACAGGCAGGTGACAGACAAGACACACCAACAGTGTCTCAGTAAGGTGTCGAGCCGCCAAGTGCCACCATAACAGCTTCACTGTATTTTTGATTCTCCGAGTCTCTGAACTCTGCTGGAGGGATGAACATCATTCTTCCAACAAATATTCCCTCATGTAGTGTTTTGATGAAGGTGGTGGAGACGCTGTCTAACATGTCGCTCCAAAATCTCCACTAGGTGTCCAATTGGGTTAAGACCTGGTAACTGTGAAGGCCACAGCACAATTCACATCATTTTCATACTCATCAAACCATTCAGTGACCCCTTGCATGCTATAAATGGGGGCACTGTCATCCTGGGAGCGACAACTCATTTATTCAGATTTTTCCTTTAAATAGTCACTCGTCTGTAGATGGTTGGAATTATAGCACGGTAGAGTATGTGTGAGCTTTGACTAAACATAAAAACTTTAAAAAGTGGCTTTGTTTCTTCCACAAAACAGCATTAGAAAGTCAGAAAGTGACCTTTACTTACTTATGATTATTAAATGTTTTATGTATCACTAGCTCAGAATAGGGGAATAGAAAAGAATTTGGCACATGAGAACTGGGTTATCATCTGAGCTAACTAGAGTACTGGTGCTCTGCCACATCAAGCTGTGTTGTTTATTTCCTCAAACAGTGAGTCAGCCCTCTTATAGCTGCCCAGGTTCCTTCAGTCTCACAAAAACTCACAAGATGTCATAAACTAGACAAATGATGTAGCAGATGTACAATGTGTTGCTCTCTCCCATGGCTGTATTCTGTTCCCCACTCTTCTGTATCATATCACTCCCTGTGCCCCCTTCCCACCAATCAACTACTAATGAAAATGTGGCCATTGACTGAACCACTGCTCAACAACCCTGGGCTGTTTACAAAAGGACAGGTGCACCAAGCCTAACTAATTTCCCTAGACATACAGAGGAATTCCCTAGTCAAAAAAAGGAATTTGCGCATATCTGATTCTGACAATAGAGAAACTCCAAAACAAGCAATGCCCAGTCATCAAGACAACCTGACTCAGAATAGTCTATGATTTCAAGCTGTGCTGCAAATTTATTCCTATTTTACAGTGTATATACACAACACCCTAACATGCTGTCACCACATTAGCCTATTAGCTTTCAGGACCCAGCCCTTCTCTACTTGTACTCCCACAGGTCTCGGTGCTTTTCAAGCCAGCTTCTATGCCACTAGTGTCAGCCTAATTAAATATGTATCTACTAACATATGAGCACCTTATTATTTTAACTATTAACAATCATAACAACAGCCCCAAATGATGTTTTAACTGTGCCCCTGTGACTGATGTTCATGTGAGCTTGAACTGTTGCAAACAAAACAACTTTTACTAACTGTTTCTACCTAAATATGATAAGCTGTTTAAATGTTACTGTCCAGAAATGTGGTAGGTTTATACCAGTTTAACCCAGAATACATGAACAGAAAACCTCAGGAGAACCCTGGCGTTTCAAGATGACAGATGCCTTCAGGTGTGCGTTTGGGGTTGTGTGAAAAACAGTCACCAAGTGTTACTTATTACAACCTTGATAAAGATGTCACCTACCTTGTCATAGTATGCAAAGATAGCATTGAATTGCTCACTGGTCAACTTGACCCCCTGTAAAAACAAAATTTTCACTACTAGGTTATAAATTGAAAAATAGCAGAGGTCATAATAAGAGAAAAACAGCAACGTTTATCGTAAATATTCAAAAACAGAGACTACATGATACAAATATTTAAATGACGTGAATTGTACAATATGCAAAAGAGCTATTTTGTGCACTGTATTTGTTCCCTACCTGGAATTTGAGCAAGAAATTCTCCTGAACTGGCAGAAGCCTGTGGGTGGGAAGGACTTCATTAGAGCGGACACAATAGTTGTTCAATTATTCAGATCTCCTGACAGTGAATGAATATCAGCAGGCAATGTAATCCAACACTTACACTGCAAAGAGCAGAGAGTAAAATTGCACGTTACCTTGCCATCTCTGACAGGCCCAGCTTCCCGTCTCCATTCAGATCAAACATCCGCAGCTACAAAGTGGAAGCAGAACAGAGATGAGAGAAAAGTAGCAGTTGTATTATGGCATGACGAAGGCAAATGTGGTTCCTTGAATTTCACTGAGAAATAGAATGCCAAGTAATTTCTACCTTCATTCTACATCCACATTGTTTCAGAGTTCTATAAGTTTAACAGAGGACCAGTAAAGTCACTGTCCATAAAACCTGCTTTGAACATTTTGGCCAACACATCTAATAAAGAATTTTGATAGAATTTAAAATAAATGTTCTGTTGAGGTTTAGTTGCTTAGAACCCAAATGCAGACACAGACCAGGAGGTTATGGTGAATGGGTGATTTAGTGACAGCAATAAGGCAAACATAGAAAAATAATGCACAGCACTCCACACAAGAGGATAACTGGAATACTGTACAAGCAGGTAACTGATTGTATTGTGTTGTACATAAAGAACCCCAACTAAGAAGAGAAGCGTAACTCTATGTAGATAGCGGGTAAAAATACAAAACACCACTCAAAGTAACTTTGGTTCTACGTAGGTAAGTATGTCTACAACACAAGTCGATGACAAACCATGGAAGTGAATGACCAGAATAAAGCTGGGGCAGGAAAAATCTTCAAAATAAAAGTTCAAAATAGGAAGTCTCTGGGAATCATGACAAATTCTCTTTTGAAGTTTAGTTACATTAGAAAAAGGCTACAAAAGTGGTTAGAAAATGGCATTTCTTTAAACATTAGTTTTCCCCATAACACATTATGCAATTAACGTAAAACATGTTTCAAAGAACATTGTGCCACAATTTTCTTTTAAAGTGTTCTATGAAAATATTTACTTGTGATTACCAGAATAAGGTTTTAATTTTCGCCAAAGGATTCCAGCATTCAATATTCCAGTTTGTGTATTGTATTAGCATGAACCACTGCAGCCAATGTGAAACCAGCAACACCAGAAATATATTAGTGCCCATGTCATCATTTATTATTGTGGTATTACTGGGCAAATATCTCAGATCTGTTTTTGTGTTTTTTACCGTGTGTGATTTCACCTATATGACCAAGTTTATGTTGAGGAACCTGCTTTACCAGATCAGGTCAGGTCAGCTCTGGGGCTTCCAGGAATGAAGCAGATGTTAGCACATCTGGGCAAATATAATGGGTCACAACCACTCAGCGGCACAGTGCTGCTGCCACCGACACAATAGGCCTCTGAGGTCCTGCAGGCCAGATGGACATGAGACATACACTGTGCCTTACCTAGATATGGCTCACACAATTTCTATAGGAATTTCCCCCACGATTTTGTCCTATTTAAAAAGAAGTTAAAGTTTGTATAGTTTTTTTTTATTATGAGAAACTCATAATGAGATGCACCATCAGAACCTCATCTGTGTTTTCACCCTTTTTCTCCCCACTTCTTATATTGCCAAAAGCATTTAATCAGCTCAGATGGGAACTTTTTTGCTACACTGTTGTGAACAGTGTTCTGTTGCAGCTGGGAACACAACGACCTCTGAAATCGGTGGGCACATAAAATCTAGACAAAAAAATGTATTGCTCCTTTGAAAAAAAAATTGTGAAAATATATAAAAATCAAACTGATGAGAATTATGTTAATGATACTATGCATAAAGTTTAGCCAGACAGAAGAGTTGTACTTTGAAATACACGTAAACTGTTCCCACAGTGTGTGTAAGAAAGGTCCTGAGTCTTACTATGGTCTGTGTGTACTCCTGCAGCTTCTGTTCATCATAGTGTCTGTTAGCCTTCTCCAGCAGGTCTGACAGAAAACCCTGAGGACACACACACACAGAGAAAGATAAAAAAGAAAAAGTATCTCTGTCTTGTTACAATTTCACATCAGGTGGAAGCTGCAAAAAATATGACAGGGTTTTTAGTTTTCATTGTCAAAAGGAAAATCACATAAGAGTTAATATATGTTGAAGATTCAAAAGGACATATATTTTACAGACCTATTCACACTGTGGTAATGAATATCATTTTCTGAAATCATCTATTAATGTTCAACCAAACTCGAATGCAAAACCAAAATCTCTGCTTTCACACTGAAAACAAAATCTGCTGTAATGAGTAGGAGAAGAAGTACTAAAATCCTTTAACTAAACTAAAAGCAATGTTTTTACGGAGACTAACTTATAGTCATGTAATAAATAGCAGCACTAATATGTAGTCTAAAATATAAAGTGAAACTAATGATAGTAGATTTAAGCAGTTTGGTATGTTTTGGACATGTTTTTTGTTTAGTTGACGAAGGAAGAAACAAAGAAGGAAAATATGACTGAAAGGTTAAAATAATAAAAGAGCAAAGAAAAACACAAGGAAAGGACGGGGGGAGAAGAACAATATAAGGATGAAGAGACAGAAAAAAATATGAAACAAAGGTATTTTGTGAGATTATTTTGTGTTTTGTATGCCAAATCCTAATCTGCAAAGCAAAATTCCATTCATTGGGTAGAGTAGATGTAGTGCAGTAAAAGATGAGGATACTCTGTAGCATTATGTATTCTTACGTCACTTGCACAGTATACAGTACTTGAGTTGGTACACTATCAATATATTGTATATTCCAAGTGCACTCTCAGCCATGTGCTGAGACATGTCTGCTGCCTGCGATCACATCTGCATTTCCCCAAAGCCTTCAAAAGCCACACCTGACTAACTCATTTGCACCTGGTCAGCTAGAAGAGATGTGATCCCATAACAACCCGAGCAGCTTAATTTGTACATGACCCAAATTCACCCCATTAATCGTCAGCTCCCCTGTGTGGAGTTCTTTATGCAATTTGGCACAGCATTTCCAAAAGTGAATAACATTTGTGCAGTCTGTAGAGCTCTAAGCATCAGAATCCTCACCTGAAACAAACACTCATGGTCACTGGGGAATTTCCTGTAGAGCTGCCACTTATCTCTTCTCTGTCAAAGCTGCTGCTTGGCTTTATGTGCCCATTTGCTCACGTCTCAAAAAGGGTGAAGCACTGAAACCTCTCAGTGACAAACATTTTTATATTTAGTTTTGTACTGTCACTTGATGGCCCTTAAAGTGCAAAGGCCACAACCCCGGCCATATTCACTCTATCAGTTTCCTATCTTTACTTAGCAGTGTTTTTGTAGTCAGATAAGGTAATAGTTTTTACAAAATTATCAAGGGCCTTAAATATAGTCTGACATTTCTGGAAAAAAGCTTAATTGCTGTCTTACCAAGAGATAGTTAAGAAGATCGACAGTCTCATGTATGTATGCTAAAAGATGACACTAGACTAGTTAGTTAGCAGACTGTCATCTTAGCTTAGCATAACAGAAACAGCTAGCCTAGCTCTGTCCAAAGCAGAACACCTGCCTATCAGCATCGCTAAATTTTGAAAATTAGCAGCAAATCTATCTTATTTATTCCCCACAAAAATAAGTAAAAACAAGTTTCAGGAAGACACATGTTTGGTGCTATTTTGTTGCAGCCAGTGGCCAGCCATGGGGACTGTTGGTCACCTTGAAGCTGGCAAGTATAGCTGAGGTGCTGCCAGGCATATTTTTAGGTTAGCTGTTCCCCCCCTGCTAAGCTAATTATCCAGCTTACCCATGTTAATATTTAATGAATAATCATAAGAGTACCTCTTAAATAAGAAAGCAAACAATAATATTTTCTTAAATGTTGAACTATTCTTTTAAACTGATTCAGTAATAGTATAATAAGGCAGTTACCACCAAAAAATATAGAGGATTACTTTTTGCATATTCCTTTCCATTCTTTTTATTCATGTAACACAACATAACATCTAGGTGGAGATGTAAGTTAAGACATTTTTATCACACTGTTACACTGCATGAATCAAAGGTGTGAGAAATACAGTACATGGAGGGAAACACATGACTTTTACATATGTCTAAATATGCATAAGTCATTACAGAAAAACAGAGGATGTGGTTTAAGAAACAACTTAAAGTGGCTACTTAGTTGTTGCTCTCTGAAAGTGACAGTTTAGGGTCAACGCTCTGTTAGTGAGCGTGTGTGTTAATGTGGATATGAATGTGTGTGGGTGGGGGAGGAAAGAAAAAGACAAAAAGAAAGAACAAGTATGACCAAGTAAGCAAATGAATAAAAATTGGGTATTTGTAATATCTATAAAGTTGGTATAGCAGGTTAGCCATATGATGAAGTCATTTCCATAAATGGATTTTTAAACAAGTTTGATCTTAATGTGTTGTTATGACGTACCTTCAATTCATTTGCTTCAATGTAGCCACTGCGATCTGTATCATATCGCCGCCATACCTAATATATATGAACACAACAAAAGAAAGAGTGAATTGAAAGCATTGTCTCGGGGCTGACACACAAAGACACTCTTCTCCAGAATGATTTGCATTTCTTCCCCTACATAAATCCTCACGGATCGAACCCCCTGCCAGCTCTCTGGCTGCACTTAGAGCTTAATTTTTCTCTGGTGCAAAGCAGAAATCCTTCCAAAGCAGAAGACCACAAAAGCCTGTATCATCACTGTGATCACACAGTTTTCAATACTATCTCATTTGTCCACATTTAGAGCAGAGGGCAGCGAGAGAGAGACAGAAATGCAGCAGGGAGAGACAGTTTTAATGAATGTTTTAATCTAGCAGCTGTCCCAGCCCAAAGAAGGGCTCCTTATCAAAGATAGATGGCCTTCCCCCATCTTCTCTCCTTCTGTCACTCCACTCTTCCTCTGGCCTCTGCAGAGTAGAGCTACAGTGGTGTTATCCATTATACATGACTCTGAAAATAGAAGGTTCTGTTTCCTCATTCTAACCATTTAAAAACCTTTCTGCCGACTTCCTCCCCCACTGCACCTTTCAACAAAGACAGATTAATCCTCATCTCTTTTTCATGTTCTCAACTTCCACTGACATTTCATTTACATCCCCCCGTTCTTTCTTTCACTCGTTTGCCCTTTGTATCCTTCTCTCTTTCTACACCGATTTCATTTATCTGCCGCCTCTCATTTTAATTTTCCTTCTCAGTGTCTTTTGCACATGTAATTGATTTCTAATTGTTCCATTCTTACACTGAGGGAGATCTAACATCAAATCTGCCAATTTTTTGTAATTTTCTGAAGGGATTTTGTGGATTACATTATTATCCGCCCCAGGGAGGCATCCAGGAGGCATCCTAAACAGGTGCCCCAGCCACCTCAACTGGTTCCGCTCAATGTGGTTGAGCAGTGGCTCTACTCTGAGCTCCTCACAGGTGACTGAGCTCCACACTCTATCCCTAAGGGTGCGCCCAGCCACTCTCAGGAGGAAATTCATTTCTGCCACTTGTATCCGCAGTCTCATTCTTTCGGTCATGATCCAAAGTTCATGGCCATAGGTGAGGGTAGGAACGTAGATCGACTGGTAAATTGAGAGCTTCATGTTATGATTCAGCTCCTTCTTCACCACAACAGACCGGTACAGAGACCGCATTACTGTGGATGCTGCACTGATCCGTCGATCAACCTGCTGCTCCATTTTCCCCTCACTCGTGAACAAGACCCCGAGATACTTAAACTAGTTCACTTGAGGGAGCAACTTGCCCCCAACCCGGAGAGAGCAATCCACCTTTTTCCGATTGAGAACCATGGCCTCGGGTTGGGAGGTACTAATTCTCATCTCCGCTGCTTCAGCCTCGGCTGCAAACCCCTCCAGTTCACGCTGTAGGTCTTGAACTGATGATGCCAACAGAACCACATCATCCGCAAAGAGCAGAGACAAGATTCTGCAGCCACCAAAACAGACAACCTCTGTTCCCTGGCTGCACCTAGAAATTCTGTCCATAAAAATAATGAACAGAATCGGTGACAAAGGGCAGCCTTGGCGGAGTCCAACATGCACCAGAAACAGGTCTGACTTACTGCCGGCAATGCGAACCAAGCTCCTACTCCGGACATACAGGGAACGGACAGCTCGTAACAATGAGCCCCGCACCCCATAATCCCGAAGTACCTTCCACTGTCAGTTGTCTTCTTGTGCTAATTTGATGTTCGTTTTCCAGTTAGTAGTTGTTGTTTTCTCTTCCTGACTAGCACTACCAATTTTCACATGCATGAACTGGAGGTTTTTGTAAGTCCAAATGTACTGCAAAGAACTGATCCAATGACAGACTTTGTGAAGAGAAGGCAGCAGCATAAACACACTCTTACCGCCATGAACTCAGCACTGGAGCTGACAAACTGTCTGAAGCACAGCAAGAAGTTCTCTTCAGTGGGAAGAATCTGGGCCAGCTAGAGACAGAAATGACCAAAAAAAAGGAAGTGGTGAGAACACAAGATGGTGGATTGGAAATGCTGAGAGAGAAGAGATGGAGACTGAGGAGCTTTTTGTCTGCAAAGCTTAAATGGGCAACTCAGACATAAATAATAGATCCATAACCTCAAAGGCAGGGATATATCTAAATTCAAATTATTTTTAAAAATGTGTTTTTGGATGTTCAGACGGGGCTTTAATACTGGATTTTCAGATATTGAACTTAAAATTCATTTGCAGATTTTTCAGGCTGACAGTGGATGAACCCCCACCCACCCACACACACACACAACACACACATACGTATTTCTTTATAATCATGCTCCAAAAATGGCAAAACTGAGGGAAACCAACTCTTATAGTACAGAGGCTATCATACAGACTGCTTTTATGCAGTTGGTCAGAGTATTGATCAGGCCTCTGAAGCTTTTCATTGTATGACTCTGGTTCTGCAAATTGACCTCTTTTCTTTTTACAGCTTTTTCTCACCTTCTATACAGAGCAACAAACACAAACCTTTTCTTCTGTTATTTTTGGGTCTGAGTCACATTTCAGTGAAATCAACACATATGGTGAATGTACTGTTCATCAAATCCTATCAGTACATGGCAAATAGGACAACTCCACTTTATTATTATGCACAATTTTTGACCATACTTTCCTCAGTACATTTTATTCTCTTTCAAACTGTAAGGACATTGTTTAATGTTTTGGGAAACAAACGTATTTGATTTACTGCCAAAAGTTAGTTTCTGTCTATTAAATATGAAGCTATAGTCAGCAGCACATGAGCTTAGCTTTGCATTAAAACTGGAAACCAAGATAAACAGCTAATTTAGCACTGTTCACGGGTAACAAAATATGTCCTCTAAGCACCTTTAAAACTCACTAAGTAACATGCTATATCTTGTTTTTAATCTGTACGAAAAGCAAAGTGTAGAAACAACCAGCTGTGGATGTGCTGGACCAGTTGAGACCCCAGAAGGTGATTGGGCCTGGCAAAAAACAAAACAAAACAAAAGCACACATAACCCCATAAAACTACAGTGTTTTATACAGCTCTATGGGTTAAACAAATTATATTTAACATGTTACTTAGTGAAAGTGAGAGATGTTTGGACGCAGATTTGTTACACAGAACAAGGCTAGCTGTTTCCCCATTTCCAGTCTGCTAAGCTAAACTAGATGGTCTTAAACTTGTATAGCACTTTCGTACAGATTGAAGCATACTCAAAGCACTTCATACTATTTTCCATTCACCCATTTGCTCAAACAAACGTCCACTCACACACCAATGTTGTCACCAGGGGCAACCGGGGGTTTAGTGTCTTACCCAAGGACACTTTGACATGTGGACTGGAGAAGCCAGGGATCGAACCACAGACCCTACAGTTGAAGGACAACCCACTCTACCTCGTGAGCCACAGCCACCCCTGATTGGCTATGGTTTCACATTTGATTGAGAAATAGAAGTAGTTCTCTCATATTACTTTTGACAAGAGAAAGTGCACTTCCCAAACTGTCAAAATATTACATTTTGGAAGAGCCTAGCTGTCCCTCCTGCTTCCAGTTTTTATCCTAAGGTATACTAGCTAGCTGTGGCTATTTGAGAGTTGTATCAGTCTTCTCACCTAACTATTGGCAAGAAAGCAAATGTTTCAAACTATCAGACCTGTTCAGTTAAAGAAAAAACACAGATGTCCAAGCATAATAAATGAAGCACTGCCGAAGCCTTACCTCTGACATCTCAATTCGTCCATCTTTGTTCTTGTCAAACTTCTGCATGAACTCCTTCATTTTTTCTCTGAAAGTGGGATTTGAAGGGTCCTAGAAAGCATTTGTACTCAATATAAGTGAGTCCTGAGTGGTCAACATATGTATCTGTGTTTTAATCTTTAGCCTTTGAACTCACCACCCCTGCTCCTCTCCGGGCAATCTCCAATTCCCTGAAGAAGTTCTCCAGTTCCTTCCCCTCAATGTAGCCATTACCTGGGAAATGGTTCATAACACCACATGATCAAAACTTACAACAAAGGGTGTTGTTCAGTATTGATGACCTTCAAAATCCCCCAAAACACAGATGTGGCCACAGGGTTACTGTGTCAGATCCCAGCATGGCTTGCTTTTACCCCAGTACTGATACAAACATGAGCTTTTTCCATTAATTTTCTTCACATTGGAATAGACTATTGACTGTCATGATGCAAACTGATCACTCCTCAAAGACTGTATGTTTACAGGGTTATATGCAAGGAGAGGCTATATATGCAAAACGGCTTTTCTGGGATTATCAAGGTAATAATCCATGGGCAGCTTCTTTTATAGTACTGCATTCAAAAGGGAGTTTGGCAAACTGTGTGAAAATCAATATGGATAACAGTGACTGTGACAAAGAATAAATAATTCCAAAAATACAAGGTTTGTTCTCAGACTATTTCTACATGAATTTGTTATATAAAGACATCCTATTATCCTTTAGAAAGTGCCTTGCTGTGTGAAGTGTCACTTTTGTCAGATAGTGTGTATCCTCAGAGGATGTCCAACATATTTTTTGGATTCTGTCATGACAAATTATGCTTGGTGGCAGTAAAGCTGAATTTTTCATATCTTATTTTATCCTTACTCCTGGTGTTCTGGTGCCCTGACAGTACCTATTCACAAGACAAATGAGTGTGCCCACTCCACCGAGGTAGTCTGTGAACCTATGCTAATATTCTACCAATAAGCACGCTGAATGAATGGACAGATGGCTCCAAACAAGCTGTCAGGCTGCTTCAATAAAACCCTGGAAAGAAGAGCTGGCTCTCCCGAACAAAGATTATTATGCCATCCACTTCTTCTCCTCTCGCTCCACCTCCCTCTCTCTCTCTTTGTCATCTTCTCTCCCTTCCTCTATGCAGCCAAAATCTTAGCATCTTTGTTCTATCCCTGCAATTTCTGTGTGTGCATGAGCGTACATGAGTTCCTTAGCAATGTTATCAAAGCTCATGAATACTGCTGCTTCAGTAAGTGGGACAGTGAAATGCTTGGCTGCTCTCGAGCCTCCCTTCAGTGGGGCGTATTGACATTTAACACTAGAGAAAAATTGCCTACTTGATAATCAAACAGAGTAAGATGTGATTAACTACAAGGCAAATGACATTAAATGACAATAAAAATAGATCTATTAATAGATTATGCTGGGGCGCTGTCACACATTCAATAAATGTGGCTGACAGATTCATAACCCCATTATATTTGTGCATAAGAGAACATCTGTTTGTGGTTCCACTGTGCTTATGTAGACGTTTCTGTTCCAAACAACCTTCAGACTATAACTCTATGTTTAATGTCCCCTAAGATTATTTCTATAAAATGTTATACATTATGTGTTGATGCCTAACTATAGTGTGTACACTCAGCGGCCCCGAATCCACTTTCCAGTAAATTAGTGTGAAGATCACAAAAAAATCCACTGCAGATGCACTTTATATCTGAATTCAACTCACTTGCAGATCATTTCATTTAAATGTCAAATAACTCCTTTTATACATCATAATGAGAGTGCTCCTACCAGCCTGCCTTCATATACTAAAGATAAAAGTTTCACAAAATCACTTTTGGTCCAAATACACACTATCTGGGATTTTGCATCCGTACAGTCCCAGGAGATGTTGGTAATGATGCTTTACCCTTTTGGTTCTGATTCTAAAATTCAACCTCAACACAGGAAACCTCTCACAATGGCCAGCTATGCCAACTACGTGCATTTTTAAAGCTTAAGTAAAGTGCATTTGCCTTTCAAAGTTAAGTGCAACCCTGCCTATTCAAATATTTTGTGCTGAGATCACAGTTGGGTCAGTTCAGGAGGGAGGTTTTGCTTAATACTCTGAATTTGCATATCCAGATTAATAAAGATAATTCACAGCAAATGGTCTATAATTAGCGAAAGTTGTTCCCTTTTCCAGTTTTGAAGTGGTTGAAGTGAAAAGGTCTGACAGAGACAGCAGAGAAAGATGAGAGGGACAAAGAGCAGAGGAGCGGCAAGAGACATTAATCCAGATGAGACTTGATCCTGGGCCAACAGGGGAATATGTGGTTTTATCCCCTGGGTGCATCGCCTCCTGTGTATTTTTATCTGCAACTCAGAGATGTTTGCTCAGTCTGAGCAAACAAATTAGCTCTGCTTTCTTTCTGCAGCGCCAGAAGACAGAACAGAAACCAAACACTGTAGCCAAATCTGTTTACGCATGTTGGCTGTATTTGATTTGCAAAGTGCTTCACTGCAAAGCACAATATATACGATACCTCAGCTTTGGGATTAAACACCTGGGTAGTATAGGATTGATATCAATGTGCTCTAACCAGGTTGAAAGAGGAAAATCATAAAACAGACATGACAATGTGGTCTGCACATTGGCTCATATGTAAGAGCTCATTCCACCTTAAGTCCTCTGTAGAATATGTTTCAGCATGTGTGCAGGCATCAAAACAGATCACAATGATTTCCCAGGAGTGTGCACGAGTGCATGTGTGTACAAAAAAAATAGGTGCAACGCTTAGCCTTGTCTGCAGGGGTATTTTGGACATCCCAAGACTGAAGAAGCGAGACTGAAGGCTTAGTGTTCAATAACAGCCAGGAAATACTAGTCACATGTATCAGAATCAGCTTAAATGGCCAAGTATGTTTGAACATACAAGGAATCTGACTCCGCTACAGAGGTTCTCAATGTGTTTGTAGGTAACAGGGACTAGAAAAAGACAAGGAAAACAAATAAAAAAAATAAAAATCAAAACAATGAAAAATAAAAAGTAAATAATAAAAAATGTGTGCATTCAGCTAGGAATATGTGTAATCAAAAATAGGAAAAGAATGCAAGAAAAGAGAGGCAGTATTTATAAATCTATATATGCATTACAGGAGAGGAGCTTTCAGACATATATACAGTGGTCATATCTACAATTTACTGGGAGTGATTGCTGTGTCCAGTCATACAGTCCTGTACATATACAGTATGTCCCAGTCTAACCTTCTGTCTGGTTTATGAAGGTTTGAATTGGCTGACTGTGTCTGATGACAAATAACCAGAAGGTTGGTTAACACTGAAGGCTTGATCTTATTTTCTAATTATCTAGCACACACCAAAGGGCACTGTGCTTGAACACCCTGCAAGATGAACCCTCTGTATCCCAGTAATACCAGCAAATCAATAAAGGATGATGAGAAATAAATAAAATATAAAAAATTATTTCTCTGGTCAGATTGACCACTGTGGACCTGATCTCAGGTACTGCTTTATGAAAGGATTTCACCAACATTCTCGTGAGATCACAGAATGCCCATACTCTACAGCCAGGAATTGGCCATATTTAGACATTTTAAAGGCTTTCATGGCAGCATGTGTGGTGAATTTGTTGCAAATCAAAGGAACTAGACAAGTGTTAAGCGGCAAATTGAAACAGAGACAACCACAGTACAGCTCTTTGGAGAAGGAGAAAGAGTGCACTGACAGCTGTGTATGGAGACAAACAGAGGATTGAAGCGAGGAGAGAAGACACTCATCAAGACTGAGACTGTATGTGTAGTGGGGATGAAGGGATGTTGAATAAATTAATACATTTTGTGCTGACAGACATCAAATCTGTCTCCCATAAATCCATCTTGTTACACTGAGATTCCTATTGCCACTGCATAAGGAGCACCACCTGACACTTAGTGATGAAACTGAGCTAAGCCAATTTTTGACTGAAAGATATCGATACAGGGAGCATCATTCACAGCCACTTACTTAGGCTTCTGTCCAAACTGTCTGTCATTATGGGTTAAATGAAAGGTTTTATCTGGGAGAACGCTGCATTCATGAAATCAGAAAGCCAGGGGAATAAAGCTGCACTCATCTTAACTCTGCTTTAATCACTGTTTTATATACTGTGCATTTCATACATTTTATGGTGCATTCAATACAGCTGGACAATTCATGTTCATTTTAGCAAATTGAATCTTTTAACATTGTAACTTGTGCTTGATCTGCTTAAAGCAAGTTCAACCCTAAAACTCTAAAACAAAATAAAAAAAATCACCCCACATCTTGTGAGGAGTGGTCTGCATCAAAGATTCATTTGATAGGCATCAAACTTTTTGGCTATATGCAAAGTATCTATTCATCTTCACACTGAGTTCAAAGACAGAAATTTGCTACTTTATTCATATACTGAGCATTGGAATTATGGGGATTATAAAGAAGGTCACCACAACATAAAAGAGTGTCTTTCTCTCCCTGAGGGTTGCAAAAGGCATCTTACAGAATGTAATCTATGATTTTCACAAGATTTAAAAAAAAAAATCCTAAAATATGGCTTTAATATGACACACTTTTTGCTGTGGTATTGTTGTCCACTGTTCTAGCTCCCTAAAAGTTTTGGTCCAAGGTCTTAGGGATGCATTTCAGTCTTTTTCCATGCATTTCCTACGGTAAGCCTCTCTTCAATTACCTTCATTTTACTGCACAATCGCCTGTATATTTGTGCATTTTTCGTTTGGAATAACTTTTAGGAAAGAAAACGTGTCCTACCGTCGGTGTCAAAATGTTTCCAAATGTCGAGGAACTGGGACGCAGTAACCTCAGCCAGGTGCAGGTGAGGAGGCTGCTGTGCCTTGTTTGCCATGATGCTCTCGACGGTTGCTGCTGCAGGTCAGACGCCAGAAAAATCCGCTACTAACTTTTCCCCTTGAAACACACTCCGCAATGTGGTCGAGCCCGGCGCACGCCGCTTTTTAACTCCGGCGCAGGAACGGCGGCACCCCGGCGCCGCTTGGGGCGCACTGCCACCAACAGCAACAATCTGAGTCAACGTTCTCCCGCCCTCTTGCTGTGTGTGTATGCAACCTATGTATGTGTGAGCGAAAGATGAGCAGATTGTCTTGTTTCTTGCATCATCAAGCTTTATGTGTGCCATGTGTATGCGTTAGATCCAGTGCCTGAATTCCCATTCTCTGGTATGCACAGAAAAACAGCTCATACCTCTCTATGTGAGGACAGAGTCGGTGTTTTCTGCCCGGCTACATCTCTGTGTATCTAAGCATGCACATCCCCGAGCCTCTCTGCCAGTGTGTGAGGCTTCAGACCTAATTAGAACTCACACACTAATCACATTTCCCACAGTGCCACAAGCCAGCAGTCATTAGCTCCCATAATAAATGTAAATTCTTAAAAAATAATTTAAAAAGGCCAGTCTACTGTGCAGAGCGACAAAGCCACAGACTCTGTTATGAAACCATGAAAACATGTACTCACATATATTTATTCAATTCATTTACTTCAAGAGCCACAATATTCAAAATGCAGTAATAAGACTATAATGAGCAGGATAGACTTATTCTTAGAAGCATTTTCCACCACTGAATAAAACATAAAGACAGTTTTTTACATATATACATGTTAATAACATTTTATGCCACCACTTTAAAAAAAAAGAATGAAAAATGAGTGAAAATTACTGTGTGTTTCACTAATAAACATAACATTTACATATTTACCTTATAAGTTCATACAGTGAACATGCATAGCTGCTAAATTGTTTTCCTGGCCACTCCATCACCACAGACTCCTGAGGGAGACACTGGACTCTTTACCAGTTAGATGTTCACTAGTTAGTAACATTTTGTGCATGTATTTGTTTTTTTTTTCAAGAGCTGAATGTAGGAAATACCACTTTCATGTCTGTACCTTAAACACAGAGCTGGTGTAAGGAGGCAACTAGCCACAAAGTACCACATCCAGCCATCCATTAGCTACACCTTTTTACTGTGAAGTGACAGTGGTAACTACTGTCTGACCATCTGATTTTGTTAGTGAGAGGTGCTACTGAGTACAGGAGTCTAGACAGAGCTGTGTTTAAGTCAGTGGTATAGTTTTCAACAAAGTATAGAGAGAATAGAGTAGACAATACATTTGCACTAATATTAGGTTGGCATGTTAACTTGGCTTCATAAAGTGATGTCACAACTGCCAACAGTGAAGAGACAGTCAGATCAGAGACTGCTATTCTGTGAGACAGAACCGAGTAAAGGGTGTTAGCACTGCAGTGAGTAGGCTCACATGCAAACAGTGTGAAACCAAAAGCATCAATGAGAGACCAAACAACATTTTTACACACTGTAGAAGATCACAGGCATTATTCGGGCAAACACTAAAGTCCCCTACAATTAGAATCTCATCAGAATGAGTAGCACGCTGGTCTGAGATGAATTCTGTAAATTCTTCTAAAAACTATGAGTAAGTGCCCAGTGGCCTATAGAATACCACAAGATGGGATGTTCAGAGTCTGCTGCTCTGGATATACCTGGAGATGGCTTTAATACCAGAGTGACAGTTTCCATCTTGGGGGTGTTTAATATATATATATATTTTTTTTTTATCATATTAAAATTAAAAAGATGCCAAGCAAGACCTGCATGTGCAGTCATTCAGTATGCAGCGTTATCATGTTTAATGCTATAAATCAAGTTTACCCTACTGAAGCTGGAATAATGTAGGCAAATAATTAAGATGAACCAGATAAGCCAAGTTGGCACCATCATGCCTAGAGTTGCAATGGTGAACTTGACCTGTCACATCTCCTCCAAGCAGGAGCGGTAAATTTCCACTCTGCTGCACGCTGGTACAGTATAGTGCTGACACACTGCTGGCAGCCGATTTCCTCAGGAGGCAGCGTGTGAAAGTCAGCAGAGACATTCCATCACGAATGCTACTTCTTACACTTGTAAAAGTTCCCTTCACTAACAGGGGCACTCCTGCCTCATAAAAAGTGGGAGCTCAGGTACATGACAGCGCATAACAACAGCTTGTATGACAGAGAGGAAGACTGAGCCTGTGACTCTGTTTCCTCAGCTTCTCTTTTCACCCCATCATGATCAATAGCAGGCCCTGGGCTCAGTTGGCACAACAACACTCACCACATTACAAATAAGGCCTGTTGCCAGCCTGCAAGGACTGCCGAGTCAAACACATTTTGTTCCCCTCTCTTATTCCCTTTAGTCATTCCTATCATCTGTGTTTATATGAGTGTCCTGTCATACACATCCCTCCATTCAAAGCACAAGTGCCTGTTATTTGCATCCTACATGCATAACTTTGTAGATGTCTCACTTTGTGCTCTGAAGCTGAGTTATGAGCTATTTATGTGAATGTGTGTAAATGCAGACCAGTCCAGTGTTTGTGTTGTCGGGCCGCGTGGTTCATTTGTATTAATATTTCAGCTCCACAGTGGATGCTGTATGAGGATGAATTATGTAAGAGGAAGGAGCGGGGTAAGGAACAGCCATTTCACTTCATCTCAGTCTCACTGCTTGTCTTCTGTTTGAGTTGTGTTCACAGTGAACAACTGAGAGAGTGATGCTTAAAACTGAGTGTGGATATTTTGATGAGGTGTGTGTGTGTGTGTTTGGGGAGGTGATAGGGTTTGTGTGTGTGTGTGTGTGTGTGTATGGGTTCTGTCTCTCTTTGCTTTTCACAACTAACTCATTAACTGATTAACTGATCCCCACTGTCACTCAACATGGAAGAAACACTGTTTCTCCATGAAAACAACCCTTACTGATTATTGGTCTGTTGTCCTGTACATATACACATATTGTGTTTCTATAATTTCAGGGGCCAGTTGTTCAGAAGTAATCATGATTGGATCAGATCTTTAAAATGGGTTGTCCATCTATCCATTCATCCATCCATTATCAATTATCATGACGATAACTGCAGGGGGTGGGGGGCTGGAGTTAGTCCTGGCTGGCACTGCACGAGAGGCGTGATACACTCTGGTCAAAATGGGCTGTTCAAAAGAAAAAATACTGGAGTTTGATTAGATTACATAATGCAGTCTTGGTTGTGATCTGGATCAAACCTTCAAGCTTTGTGTTGTTCAAAACCTTTACGTAGGATATGTTTGATCTAAAAAGTCAGGATTATCCTGATACCAGCAGAGAGGTGGATTCAGGGTGGATTTCAGGAGCAAAACATAATAAAACTTAAAAATTGGACAAATAATACAACTCGTTGTATTACTACTACTCGTTTTTAGACTGAGTTCCTCCACTAGTGCCATTACAGAGGGTCACCAATATCCTGCCTTTGTGCTGTTCATACAGATCAAGCTAAGGGTGGCATAATCACAAGACAGCCTGTGAATTCAGACAGCAGACCGGCATTCCACACTAGCGGTGAGATGTGATTTTGCTCTGCATTAACTATGACGCAAATTTTGTGCCTGTAGTCTACAAACCAAAACAACAATGGCAAGAGAGATGAGTGTGAATGTAGCTTTGTTGGCTCTTCAGGCATTTTTTTCACTTCACACAAAATTGGTTAGTGTGGTTCTTGCTATGTGTGCAAATTAGTAATAAGTGCATCAATGCGTTTGTGACATCAGGAATTCTTTGAACTATAAGAGAGAAGTTGAGAACAGTTTGAGGCACACTGTCAGCTCACCCCTTCTACACAGCAAGCACGAGGGGCTAGTGAAATATAAAGAAAACTGAGAGCTTGCATAAGATCTTGTGCATGCACTTACGTACGCTAACTTCAGGATATTATGTATGCCTGGACCCTTTGGAACAACATAGTCACATCTGGGGTTTTGTTGTTAAAAACAATGTGTCACCCAGCGTAGTGGTGTGTTTCCAGGTGACGGAAACACTAGTGATGGCGACACAGTAGCTTTTCTTCACTGCTCTTTAGTGCTGCCATGACATTGTCCTTTTCTTGCAGCAGATTACAGCGCTCAGTCACATTGGAGTCTCTGGATTTCTGAATTTTCTGTAGCAAGGATGCTTTCTCCTGTTTCCACTGGAGACACTCATTCTCGGGCTGTCCTGCAGCTGTCATCACTGCAGCCAGTAGGTTGGTGTTTCCTTTTTTCAAATTGTTAACCTCAGCCCCAGAGATTGCAGATTGTTCCAACAGAGTTTGTGGGTCACATATCTTTGTCTACATCTTATCATCTAGGTAATGAACCAGCAAATCCTCTTGGACAACTGGGTTGACTCACTCCTCAGTTATACCTGATGTTACCTCACTGTCCTTCAGCTGACACCTTATTTGAGCTTCGAAGGAATTATAATAGGCATGTAATAATGGTTCATCCTCTCTAAAGTTTTGCTCCACTGTTTCCATCTTTTTCTCTTGCTGGACCTCTGTTTTTAGTTCCTCAGCTGTGTTTGTTTTTTCATATTGTGTGTACCTTCTATGGTGGCTTTGTTTACACTATGGAAGACTATAGACAACTTTACAAATCCAACAGCATCTCACATTCAAAATATACAGTTCATGAGGTCTGTCAGGGTCTGAGTGAGTCACTGAAGGAAGGGTTTTTTTGTTTTTGTTTTGTATTGTTTTTAGCTGAAATATGTTTAATTATGATCATATATGAGCAGAGGTTTGTCAGATTGTATTGTTCCTCTTTAGTACCTCCAAGTACTGCTCTGTCACCCTGCTGACAGGGTCAGGCTCCACCCTTAATGCAGATCCCAGTGTGTAGAGGTAGCTGGCAGCCAGATAGTCCTCCTCCCTGCTGTTCTGTCCCTCAATCATAGGACTGAGGAGGGAGAGTCCCAGGCCAAGGTTCCTGTTGACAGGCCCCTGTGTGGCCCTATAGTTCACTGGCAAACCCAAAATGTCCACATCGTAAGGGCCCAAGTTGAGAGTGTGTGCTGGGAAGTTTCTGAGGTGTCAGGGCTGCTGCTGGAACAATGTCTTTGTCCTCCTTTTTAACAGATGGTCTAGAGATTTTTGGAATCTCCTCAAGTTGAAGGAAGGCCATTCTGCAGCCAGGCAGGGTTCTCTCACTAGTAGCGCTATCCGAGTCCCAGTCTGATAAATCTTCATCAGTATTAGCATCACCCAGCCCCAGCTCTTCCACTGAGTTTGCCTTTGGGCTGTTATGGTGACCGAGTCCTAATCTGATTCATCTTCAACAACCTTTGGGTCATTATCCTGTTCACATTTGCTCGAAACAGTAAGTGATTCTTCTTCACTTTCTGGTTTCTGAAGAACCAGCTTCCTTGCTCAAGGTTGGGGATGGGGCACAAGATGAGAGTGTGTGCCAATAAGTCTCTGAGGTGTCAGGGGTGCTGCTGGAACAGTGTTTTGTCCTCCTTTTTAATAGACAAACTTGAGTTTTTTAGGATCTCCCCAAATTGACCAGAGATCATTCCGCAGCCAGGCAGGGTTGTATTACTAATAGTCCTATCCAGCTTCTGAATGACTGGACACACCTGATCTAAGTGTTCAGCAGTGGATAGAGCAGGGATAGCTGGAAAACAAGCAGGGCAGCAGCCCTTGCAGGCCAGACTTACCCAACAGAGCGATCCAGGGAACCAGGGAAGTTGCCATTGATATTCAGTGCCATAACCCCTAAGTTACCTTAAACAAAGTCAGCTCTCTAAAATGTAAGGATTTGCATTTATGAGACATGTCCATGCAAATACCAAAAAAATACCAAAATCCAGATCTCATCTATAAATTTTTAATTTGATAGCACCAGTAAGTGGATTAGAGTCTATCCTGAGACTAGATATAGTAAATGATTTAGAAATTAGAGAACAATTAAAGGATGAGGTTTAAAAAACATTTTGCTCATTCTCCATCACCAAGAACACAATGCTACTCAGTGGTAATAACCAGTAATCATCTCCCACTTATCTTAGTATATTTAGAGGTTCCATGTGTCTAGTAGTAGTAGTAGTAATTAGTAGCCCATATTATTGCCTTATAATCATTGTTTGAATACTGTCAAACATACAGGTTCAACAATTTGAAAAGTCCCAGTCTTTGTGTTTGCTGTCACAGGTCTAACAAGCCTGCAGAAATACCAAAGGGGGCTGGACAATTGCCAGTGCTGTATTCCTGCTACATTTATTGATCAAAGATCTGCGATCCTTTTAAGTAAAGTAATGGTGTACTGTAATTATAAGCCACTGTAGTGCTCAGTTTGGATTACTACAAACACACAACAAGTCAATATGTCACCCAAGAGACACCAATTAATTGTCACTTTGAAACAAATTCTACTTTCACCACATTTCCTTATCCTTGTTTCCGCATCTCGTGAGTCACACACCCTATTTGTGATTAAAGAGCAACTTTAACAGCCCCTGAAAACTAGTTGTTGCTGTCCTGCAGTGGTGTTAAGTTGCTGCAGTGTTGTAGTGGTGAACATCACAGTAGACCATGACATCACTGTTGGGTGTGGTTATAAGCACGTCTGACCACACCAAGAGTGATGCTAAAGACTTTTAGTATCTACAACAGTAGGTCAGAATCTTATTCTGCTCGATACCCCCAAAACATCTCACCCACTTTCCTGGTTAACCACATTACCCAACACTTCTAAGTAATAACCTAACCCCCTAACTTTAACAACTCACTGTCTGCACATACTTTTAACCTTTAAAAGAAACCTGTGTGTATTAGTGCTAGCAGATTTTAAACGAAGCTACTCGATCTTGGCGATGAGGTGGCTGACGAGCCTCTGGATGTCTGGGGTCCGGCGCTGGCTGGTGCTTAGCACTTCCTCGTGATTTGCTTTTTCACTGTTGTCATAATCTGCCACAACCTTGTTGGTGATGAGGGAGATGCCCAAGACACGCAAGCCACAGTGGCGAGCCACCACTACCTCTGGGACTGTGCTCATACCTACAGAAAAGGAGGATGGTGGCAATTAATTATGTATATAGAGATGTTAAAGCCATTTAAAACTCCTGACATTTATTATTGCATGCCCATAAAGGTGAAATACGTCCAAGAGATGGATTAAAAAGAGCAGTTCAAATCAACACAGCAGAGGCTGAGCCAGCCTGACTTTTAATCACTGGCTCAAGCTACAAAAACACTACATCTCCCGCCGTGCGACTTGATTTAGCCCCTCCCTACTTGATAAATGCCCAGATCACCGAAACTGCTATAGTTTGCAATACAGGCCTCTTGTAATAAATTTCTATTCTCCAAGCCCAAGTCAAGATAACAGTGATGACATCACTATGACATTATCATGGTTATTTTCTCAGACTTAACAAAACTCCACCAAAAACACACAAAAACATTATTCAACTTTTTTTTACAGGCTGTGATCTTTAATACATTTCAGCCGCAGTACTGAGACTGATAGCTGGCAGTTGCATCATTCCAGATTTTTCTGCAGGGTTTTTACTGTAATATGTGTGAACATGGAGCTGTAGTGGTGTAACACTAAGCAACTATCTGTATCTGTATCTATATCAGTTTATGTCAGATTATCTTTGGGATTTGTACCAGACATGAATGGCGCATTCAGAGATAGTTTCATCCCAAGAGCCATAAATGCACTAAATCAGTCCACCAAGTCCCCACTTGTTTAAAAAACTGTCATATTTATAGGGATAATTTCCTTTCTGCATACTTTGCATTAGTATCATAATGTTGCACAACCTGAGCCAATTGCACATATGAAATATTTGCAATATATGTACATTTATACTTATGTTTTTATAATGTTTTTGTATATTTTTATTGTTTTTTTGCCTATTTTAATTACTCTTTTATAGATGTCATGGATCAAGGGAGGGGCACATTGAATCTCATTGTACTGTATTGTACAATGGCAATAAAGAAATCTCATCCATCCATCCATCCATCATCTATATTGCTTATCCTAAAGAGGATGTTGTAGGGGGGATCCAATCCCAAGGTGGGGTACACTTTGGACAGGTCGCCATTCTATCACAGGGCTAACATTTAGAAACAGACAACCACACACACCCACACTCACTCCTATGGGCAGTCGCCAGTCAACCTAAACTGTATGTCTTTTCAGATGGGCACTAACTTTAACTCGTCACTTCTCAAGTAGGCTAAGGTGACTGACTTCAATGTGAGATAAAGAGCTAAAAATGACACCACTAGTCAAACATTAATCTGCACTGTCAAGTAAATGTGTGGATATCTGCTAAAAAGAATGCTGCTTTAGATACTAGCGGTTCCTATTCCAGGAGGGGAAATGCTACAGCATTATCTCTTCTTATCCAAATAAGGGATTCATATTTATTTGTAAAGTGCTTCTCCTGTTGTAGACACACTGCTGAGATACTTTCCCACAATAGATCAGTACTGTACAGTATATCTTTAAGTGAGTATGAGAGAGCTGTACTAACCCACAGCGTCAGCGCCCAGCATCTGGAGGACTCTGCACTCTGCAGTAGTCTCATATGTTGGTCCAGCCAACATGCAGTAAACCCCTTCCTGCAGGAAGCTATCACAGTCCTGCTCCTTTGCTGTTTCCTTAGCCAGAGCCCTCAACTCACTGTCATATGCATCCGACATGGAAGGGAAACGCAGTCCAAACCTGGAGAGACATTAAATTAAGAATGCTAGTTCATGTTTGCTAGCGTACAAGTTTCACTTTGATAGTCCTGCCTTGGTATTTCTCATGCACCTTTCATCGTTGTGGCCACACAGTGGGTTCTGCCCCGCAAAGCCCGGCATGTTGATGTGATCCTTAATGAGCATGATGTCTCCCACATTGTATTTGCCATTGAGACCCCCTGCTGCATTTGTCACAATCAGAGTTTTCACACCCAGCAGGAAGAAGACTCGCACTGGGTATGTCACCTGGAGAAATAAACATGTTATCAGGTGCTAGGTATTTTTAGTCAAATAGAAATTGGATAGATACTTTATGTATTAGAAATGTTTAGTGGAGATAGGATGTCTAGTTAGACTGTTAAATGCTTAGTCATGCTTATGAGTTTCTACAGGGTACATCTGGTCAAGGATAACTAGAGAGAAGAGTTGATGACTGTGAGCAGACAGGGTGTTTATTATTATGACGTGTATAACTGTAGACTTAGCCATAATATGTTCTTATGTTTAAGTCACGACATGTTACTAGAAGTCTGTGAGAATGTTTTTAGTTACACACCACTTAATCATCAGACACACACACATGCACATTGATTTGCTTCATGTTTTGACTACTGCTATGACCAGCTGCAGAGCTGGCACCAGAGATGTCTCGGTTAATGTTTCTGTGTGGTATGGGGCTAGCCCAACCGAGGGGATATAATGTATAGGCCTGGTGGGTTCAGGGTCTTTCATCTTACATCTGCCTGCGAGCAGTTGGATAGACACTGTCATTTTTCTATTGCTTTGAATGGGAGTAACAAGATGGGGATATGATGGGAGCACAAAGGAGGAAGGAGCCAACATTTAAAAGAGACAGCTTCTACATGTGCTGTCATTAGACTCTAGGATTTGTTATTACTGTAGGTTTAAGATAAGTAAGATAAGATAAGATCCCTCTTGATTTATCCCATGACAGGGAAATTCACACCGCTATAGCAGCAAAGGGATAGAAACAAGGCACTCAGGACAGAGCTGGCACGTCTGAAACATTTCTGGTTCTGTAGTAACCGTTATAGAGCTGCTGATGGCCTGTACATGACTGTTGCTACTTTTCATTGCAGTCACAATTACAAATGATTTGTTCTATGTCATATTTCTTGAATTGGCTATGAAAGTGTTTTGCTTGTTAGTGCAGAGGTCTTTTACCCTTGCTTCTTCCTTCTTCCTGTCATTTTGGAACAGCAGACTGATAAAGGATTTGCTTATTATTTGGGTGATTACAGTGTGTTGGAGATAAACTTGTGGACTGTGTTAGAAATGAAGTGTAAGTTTAGTAAGTTGTGTTGCATATGTAATAGAAGTATAAGTGTCAGTGGTTAAATTATAGCAGCAAGCATGTTATGAAAATCTAAGACATAACTTGAAAAAGAATAAAATTAAGTTTACAGCTAGCAGCGCAGGGAGGTGGTGCCTTGAGCTGAACACTAAATGCAGCATAGTAACACACCCACAGCAACAATGGTAACATGTTTATTTAGCATTTTATGATCAAGATTTACATGTTGGTGTAATGTTTACCATGTTAGTTTAGCATGTTAGCATGCTAACATTTGCTAATCATCACACCCCAAGTACCGAGGCTGATGGGTTGTCATTAGTTTTGCAGGTGGTCATAACACAAACTATGAAACAAATTCAAAATGGCAGTAGACCCACTGTCTAACCAAGTGACAAGCTAACTATACCATCCATTAACCCTTACCGTCCTTCTCATTTGCTCTTCTGTTCAGTTTAGGTTTTTTTTTGTTCAGTTTGCCAACAGGGGATTAAAAAATATAACACAATACAAAGTCTAACACAAGTTCCAAGCTTATGGCATGTATGACAAAATGTCTTTAAGAATTTACTTCACTTTGCGCAGTGTTAAACCTTTCTGAGTACAGCCCAGTTTATGTCGATCTTCAACTGGAGGCATGAACCTGAATTTCCCTTAGAATCATTAAAGTATCTATCTATCTATCTAGCTTTCTGATTTATCACCTGTCTAAAGTCCTAACTGGATATAGGAGGGTCATAACGCATCTGGCTTTCTATTACTGGATGTGCATTATGAAACTGAATTTTATGAGTGACTAGGGTTTTAATGTTCCTTTTATGTGAAGATGGCACATCACAGCTGGTAATAAAATAAAATAAAACCAGTGTCTCTGCAGGCCAAAGGCCAGTGCCATGCTGATACACTGTTGGAATTCTTAGTCGACAAAATGAGTAAATTGTTAGCCAAAGTTGTGAAATACTATGGTTTGTTGATCTCTAGTCAAAAGGCAACTGACAAAACCAAGTTTATATAACTTGAGAGACTATATGAGCAGTTTTCTCTGAAAGGGTACATCGATATGAAAGATAGTGAAAAGTTTATTGGAACCTAAAATAATGCGATGTGGCACAAAATCAGTCACGTATCATGTAACGAGACTCCGCCCATGGCAAGATTAACAAACTAAGTTTTTGTTCATATTCACAGTTTAAAGAATAGACCTATACCCTCAGGAACTGAGTGTTTTCTCAGTGACTGCCAGCTGTTCAGTATTCCTGTGTATCATTTGCATCAGTAATGTTTCAAAATGCTGAAGCAGGTTGGCTTATGACAGAAAATGAGACAGAAAACGCCCACAATGCAACTTAGAGTACAGTAACACAAAGGCATCTCTGCACTATTCAGTGTACATCTATGTTCCCCTCAAGATAAATTTTAACAACTTTAGTGACCCCTTAACTTTTCATCCTACACCATGATCAGGTCAAAGTTTCACTACACTGGACTAAATACCTGCAAAACTCATGACATTCCCACCCGCCTCCACTGTACTTTGTTTGGTGGCAAGCCTGCCAATGCTCTAAGGTAAGATGGTGAACCTGAAACCTCAGCAAGTTAGTGCTTTCATTGTCAGCATGTTTTCATTTAGCTCAAAGAACCACTGTGCAAAAGTACAGCGTCACATAGCCAGTTGCACAGTTGTAAAATCTTAATCTTGTTTTTTTCTCTTAGAATACTTTTAAAAACTGTTAATTTTTGTTAATCTTTAAGGTTGTTTACAGATCACCTTCAGTAATAGCACTCTGACTAATAAAAAGAAACAGTACACATACTTTACATCGCCTACTGTGGTTTACCGTGTTCATGTTGTAGCCCTCGTAGAAGTGGAAACGCCCTTGCATGCAAACACACTCATGGCCCTGCAGTTTTCCAAAGACCAAGAGACCAGTATGGCCTGCCACTGCACAGCACACAAACAGTATGAGTAGCTGCTAGCATACTTATATACGGCATAGTGTCCAAGCTTTTGTTAAAATGCAGCTGACAGAGATGACTGACCAGTGCTGCTGGGGAAATGGGGGATTTTACTATAAGGGAAGACCATCTTGTCATCCAGCAGATCAACCAGACTGCCCAGGCCTGAACCACAGATGATGGCCACCTTTGGACGATGCACTGTGTTTGCTAGCAGCCAATCTGCTGTCTCCATGTAGTCTTCATAACTGTATCTGAAAATAATGGTAATTTAAATTAATATCAAATATAACTGAACTGAAAAATCAGCTACACATCTCGGTAGCAATTACTATCATAACCATCATCACTGTCACCAAGGATTGAACACCGTAAATACCAGAGAACATTGGTCTCATGATTTTAGATGCCACTGTCTGAGGAGAGCAGGAAAGTATATGAACAAAACCATAACAAATGTGTACGCTGTAAATGAGACTGCCTCTTTTAGCAATATGTGTAAGGTTAACAGTCCAATGTGCACAGGAAAGTGCTGATTGCACGTTTTTAAAAGGTGTATCAAACAGCATGAGTAAATAATGCATTACATGTGCTGAAATAAATCTACAATATAAAGTAAATGGGAGACAAAAACAGCACATACACAAAACAATGTATTACAATGAGAAAACTAGCAGACTTTATTGAAAACAGAACAGCAAACCTACAGATGTCCACATGTCAACACCAATTCTGCATTAGAACATGTACAGCTGGTTGCTTCTTTAAGCAATAGGCAAACCATCCATACAGGAAAAGAAAGTTTGGTTCTGCTTTGGGTTTTGCATTGTTTTAATGTGTATATAAATAAATAAGGTTTAACAAAACTGCTCATATTTGAATATTCAACCATAAGATGTCTTTATCATGATGACAAACTCTAATACTCATGCCAAGCTATAGCTCACTGTCATAACATTCTGCAACACCTATGCTAAAGCACCTGCTAAGGGGAGAAGACACTGAAATGTGCAGGAGTAAAATCACATGGAAATTAACATTGTGTAAAAATAAGTATATAGGCCTATATATAGGCCAGGGATAATGATTTGATTAGGACTTCCCTGGGGTACTACATTATACAGTGTTTGAAACAAGCTGGAATTCTGGATATAAATGTTGCTGCAAAACTATAAGCTTGATAATGTTCCCTCTATGCCTCAAGCTTTGTTATTAAAACCCAACACGCTTCAGGCTGCATCCTTCATCAGACCGAACTGCAGCAGGAGAAAGCCTGCTGAGTTTAAGTCTATTTTAGAGCTGCCATCTCAAGAGGCCTGCTACACCAGACCAGCCTGGGGTGTTCAATTTGCACCCCCTTTCTTTACAGTAGGTACTGTATGTTGGTATGCGGGACAGGGTGAAAGTGATGAACTTTTGTTGGTGAATAATGCTACAACCAACTATCAGACTGGATTGTTATGACTGTTTTATGAAAACTTTATCAAGGCAGAAATAAAGCAGCATTATATTTGCTTATTTTCCCTAAAAATCTTTGGAAGAATAAACCTAATACCTTGCAAGCAATTCAGTCATTCTACAGTATATAAATACATACACTCTTATGGCACAATTGTCAGTTGCATATAAGTCTTCAGGCAGTAATGGCAGTGTTGCACACAGACACACTCCCACTCAAGCAGACATACCAGGTGACTGCTACAGCATAACTTCTGCTGTTCTGTTGGTGAGTGAGTCATAAACAGATTCATTGGATTGGTGCCAGAAGACAGTGGGGAATGAATGACTGCAATTCAGGTTATTTAACCTGATGTTTGAACAACGTCTTTTTTTTAGATTAGTAATTCATAAACCCAAGACTCTGAAAAACATGGAATCTGTAGGCTAGCCACACTGTACAAAACAGGGTCTTACCCCAAAAATGTATGATGACATCTCATGTGCCTGTAATTCAGCTGTAATATGTTATATGAGGGTCTGTGGCTTGTGCTTCTAAACAAGGAGAATGGTAAAGCTAAAAATGTAATGTTCTGTTCTAGTTCAGAATGAATCCCTTGGCTGAGTCAACCACCAACTAGACTGCCCAAACCCACAGCTAAAAGCTGAGTGTTTAAACAGGGGACATTTTGGCAGTGGCAAAACCTCCAACATTAGCCCCTGCTTAATCTGTGACATTTCAAATCTATTATTATGATGAGTTAGTTGACATATCCAATTAGGTATTTTTGGTCTAACGGCTGCTGTTTACAATTTTTATTTGGATGTTGAAAACAATATGACATTGATACTTGATAGTGCTGAAACTAATAGAGTAAGCAAAATTTTAAATTTACTGTGACACCATTTAATGTCACAGAGAAGCAGAGTCTGTTCTTGCACATTTATTCACTGTTATTTAATAATGTAAGCTATTTACTTAGTGAAAGATATTATAACTTTAATACTGTCTTAGTGCACAGTAGCTGCAAATTGCTCACATAATAACTTTTAATACCTAATGTTGTAGCATCTTGTATATTAACTATGGACCATGCAAATTAATTTTATATCAAATTCTTACCCCAACTTCACTCAATCATACCCTAAAAATATATAAGTCATACTGTAACTTAATTGAGCCTACATTTCACCATCACAGATAGGCTAAAAGAACCTAATACAACTAATTAAACAAAATCCCAGATTTAGGCTATAGGGATTAGGGTGTCCCACTGGATTTTTATTCCCTGGGTTGACATTTTTCATGTAATCTTGAATACTTACATTCAGTTTTGTGGTCACGTGGAAAACTTGTGTTGAAAAGTCAGCCTGTCACACGTGTACAGAATGAACTGCCCAAGCCACATTAAATACTTGTTGCGTGTGCCTATTACAACGCAGATATTCACTTAGACTACAGCCTCTCTGGCTCTCTCGGCCTGCGAACTGCACGTGGAGCTGTCAGTGCACGTGGAGCTGTCCGTGCACGTGGAGCTGTCCGTGGTACTTTGTATTCAGGCAGCGGAGCGGAGAGGGGAGCGGTATTCTGGCTGTGCGCCGCCCATTTTTAGCGGACACCACACAGTTTGTCAATAAAAGCGAGTTTTACCAGCCTGGGCTGTTGCTTAGCTCCGAGGCAAGAACAAAAAAAAAACTGGCCTGTTTAGTGACAACTCGAGGTTACTGATAATTATATACCCTATAGACTACCACCTGTAACATGCACTATTACGCCTCAAATCCTCAGATTAAAGCATTCTCAGATAGCACAGTCCATATCAAGATGCTTCACCGATAACACAGGCGTTAACCTACCTGATTTGAACACCACTGGATCCCCCGTAATATAATTAAACTACAGAGTAACCTTGACAGCCATGACCATTTCGCTCCAGCTTTATCGATCTTACCTGCACTGATTGTGAGGGGAAGTCGCCGCGTCCATATCTGACTATAAAACGTTATTCGGGTTGTTTCTAACAAGCGATTCCTGTGCTGAATTGACGGGAGTTGAGAGGCTGATGGAGAATCTGCTGGGGAGGGGCGGAGGGCAGGATACGCGCTGACGCCACGACGTATAGAGCCAAAGAGGGGGCGTGCGCACACTGGCGGTACCTTTGAATAAACTTAATCCAATTTGCTCCCAGGCTGAGCAACTCACTGAGCCGTTTATGGAGAGAGACAGGGCAGGAGCAGAGGGAGAAACAAGGGCAACCGAGGCAAAAGAAAGTTGAGGGAAATTATAAAATCAGCAACAACTCGAGGTTACCGATGAATATAAAAATATAAAGACCAAAATCACCTATTGTTAGTTTGAGGAAACAGGCTACTTCAAAGCCAGGAAACTGAATTACAGACTCATATAGGCTGCATAACAATTCACATTGGTGACTCATGGGGCTAGAAAGAGAGATTTAAAGTGAAAATTGTACCACAACCACTATAGGCTATAACACCATTTTAAAAAACTGTATTTTGTAATGACATAAAATAGAATGTGATCCATTATTAAATGGTCCATAATAACCAGATCTGTAGGGTTTATTAGTATAGATATAGGGATAAATTTACATAGGCACATAATGTTTGCATATTCAGCAACACATGTTGAAATGCATTTATTTTTCACATTAAAATGTATGTGGCAATACCCTGAAGATAATTACATAGGTCTGTAAGCACTGTCTTCCACCAGAACACAAGTCACCCAAACACCCTGACAATAAACCTAAGTGTTGTTAGCAAAAAGCTATCATCACAGTAGAAAGCTAGAATGTAAAGTAAAATAGGTAGGTAGGATTTTATTGATCCTACAAAGGGGAAATTCCTCCAGCAGCAATAGAAAGCAGCAACAAGACACCATAAGAACACACGTCTTGAGAAACAAATTCCAAAGTACCTAAAACCAAACAGAATATAATATTTGAGAGACGATCAAGAACAAGAATGATCCTCCCACAATTAATCCCTGAGAACAAATCAAAATACCTAGGAACAAGACAGAATATAGTATTCAAGAGAACAAGAAATCAAGGATGAGAATATTAATCCCATAATTAATCCTGCAATGGGGGAAACACCTTTATTTCCGCCATGAGGATCTCTGAAAAATTACTCAAAAATACCTAAAACAAGACAATATATAGTATTCGAGATATTTACAATGCATTTGACCCCCAGGATTTGAGTATTGCACCTCAGTTGACTATTGCATAGTCCCTCATACTTTCACCTAGCTTATCCCTGCAGTGATGTATTGTACAGTCTCATAGCGGTGGGGAGGAACGACCTACGGTAATGCTCCTCCTTGCACTGGGGTTGTAACAGTCTTGGGTTAAAAGAACTGTTCAGAGCCTCCACTGTATGGTGCAGGGGATGGGAGGGGTTATGCATGATGGATGTTAGTTTCGCCAGCATCCTTCTGTCCGCCACCTCCTCGAGGGCAGCCCAGGACAGAACCAGCTCTCTTAACCAGCTGGTTGAGTCTCTTTCTGTCCTTGTCCGTGCTACCTCCTGCCCAACCCTCAACAGTGTAAAAAAAATGTAGATGCCATCACAGTATGATAAAAAGTCTGAAGGAGTGCCCCACGCACACCAAAGTACCCCAGTCTCCTCAACAAGTGGAGGCGGCTCTGGCCCTTCCTGTACAGGGCATCTGTGTTGTTCGTCCGATCCAGTTTATTGTTGAGGTAGACACCCAGGTATTTAAAGGTGTCCACAATCTCAATGACTGAGCCCTGAAAGCTCACTGGCATGAGTGGTGGTGATTTCCGCCGGAAGTCAATCACCATCTCTTTTGTCTTGCTGGTGTTCAGGACCAGGTGATTTTTCTCACACCACTCCACAAAGTCAGTAATAACCCCCCTAAATCCCCACTTGTTCCCCCCAGATACACATCCAACAATGGCGGTGTCATCCGAGAACCTTTGCAGATGACAGTGGTGGGAGTTGCACTTGAAGTCCGACGTGTGGAGGGTGAACAGAAAGGGGGAAAACACCATCCCCTGTGCTGCCCCTGTGCTGCCCTCGTGCTGCAGACTACAACGTCCGACACAGTCGAGCAGCCTTACGAACTGAGGTCTATCTGTGAGGTAGTTAATGATCCATTCAGACAGGTGTTGGTCCACACCTGCCCCCATCAACTTCCCCCTCAGCAGTGACAGCTGGATTGTGTTGAAAGCACTGGAAAAGTCAAAGACCATGACCCTCACAATACTTCCGGGGGATTTCAGGTGAGACAGGGCTCGATGCAGCATGTAGATAATAGCGTCATCTACTCTGATGCCAGGTCGATATGCAAGGTTGAGCGCCAAGCTCATTTGGGCACGGAGGTGGCCGAGGACAATCCTCTCCATGGTCTTCATCAGGTGGGAAGTCAGGGCAACGGGTCTGTAATGGTTTGTCTCCTTGGGATGAGTTATTTTAGGAACTGGGACCACACAGGATGTCTTCCACAGAGCCAGGACTCTTTCCAGGCTAAGACTCAGATGTATAGGACCACTTCATTGAGCTGGTCTGCACACTCCCTGATGACCCTGGGGCTGATGTGGTCAGGTCCTTCCTGGCCTTAATCCTCCTTAACTCCCTCCTGACCTGGTCCAGTGTGAGGCTGAGGGGACGGGTGGGCGGTGACTGCTCAGGAGCTGTAGGCTGTTGAGAACTTTCCATGACAGTGGGAGGAGGGGCAAGGTATAGCTGAGGTGTGAGCAGCTGTAGCTACGAGAAGACGACTGACCTGGAGAGGTGAGTCAGGGGGGCTGGCAGGGTGGGGGCTAAGGACTGGGTAGAGTCAAATCTGTTAAAGAAACTATTCTTTTGCCCAGGCCTGGTCTTCCACAACCTGGTGACCATCCCCACTTTTTCCATGCCCTAGATGTGTTTCAGACCTCTCCACACCTCACGTATGTTGTTTGTTTCCACGCTCTGCTCTAGTTTCTTCCCGTAGCTAGCCTTGCACCTCTGGATCATATACTTTAGTTCTCGTTGCACAACAGCAAGTACTACATTAATGTAAAACAAACAAAAAAATAGTAATGATGTTATCTTTGGATCTATTCCAGAGTGCATGGAGCATCTTCAGTATACTGCAGACTGAAACTGTAGCAGCTTGTGAAGTCCTGATGATGTCCTATGACCACCCCAACAGGCAGCATCCATGCCCTTTACTTTATTATGTCACCTCAAAACAAAACAAAACAAAACAAAACAAAACAAAAACATACTGCAGTAACATGTCAATAAATTAGTTGAGAGGTTGAGAAATAAACTAAATAACAAATACAGTATGTCTGGTTTGGCTCAGCAACCAAACAGAACAAGATCAGATTCCAGCAGACAGTCAGGACTGCAGAAAAGATCATTGGTGCAAGCCTGCCCTTCATAGAAGACCTGTACACCTCACTGGTCAAAAGGAGGGCAAAGAGGATTTCTGCAGACCTCTCACACCCAGGATACAATCTGTTTGTATTCCTCCTCTCTGGGTGGCGTTACAGGTCACTGTGCACCAAGACAACCAGGCACAAGGACAGTTTCTTCCCCTGTGCTGTTACTCTGATGAGCACTTGACCCATGACAGCATGACTGGACAATAACCCTCACTGCAATACCTTACCCCAGTGCAATACTGGTAAATATACATTGTGCAGATTATACAGATTCGTACAGGTTTCTATTTTCATTCTATTTTTTTCTTGTTTCCTAAAGAACAGTCTGTCTGCATTACTGCCTGTTTATACTGTTTGGTTTGCATTATTTGCCTTGTTTATTAGTTGTTTATACTGTTTATTTTGTTATACTACACAGCCTTATTATATTGGTATATTGTTTACATGGGGATATGTACATGTACATTGAGAGCCACTGTACCACAGTCCACCCCCAACTTCCTGCCAGAGAATCATATTTTGAAAGAAACTTCAGAGTTTTAACCATCTCATTCCCTCCAGTTTCACTTCTGCCAATCAGTGACTGATGTGGATCACCTTGCTAATGCCACTCACCTGTTATTTATTATCTCTGTCCTTCATATACTGCTTTACATCTCCTCTTCAGTTGCTGGATTGTTGTCTATGGTACGCCTTGTCTTTTTTTATCTGTTGTTTGTCACTGGCGCTGTATTTTACCTGCCTGTAGTGATGGCAATATAAAGCTTCCTGATTGAAGCCTTCCACCCAATTGGTTCGCAAAAGGGTTCATTTCTCGAGGTTTCATGTGCTCACAAACCATATGTTTTTGTCTCCCCTTATTAATGTGTTTGTGCTTGTTTGTAAATTGTGTGCATAAGAGTTTCTTGGCTGATACATTGTAATCGGTGTTCCGTGGTAGTGGTACACATTCCAAAGTGAAGCTCCTCCTTTACATCAGTAATTGAAAAAGTCATATAATAATGACAGGGGCAATTATGTTTTCAAACTGTGGCAGTGTCAACAAGGAAGAGGAAAGTGAATATGCTTGTGAACAGAGAAGGGAAGTGAAGGTGTTTGTCAAGTCAAAGTCAAAGTGTTTGTCATATGCACAGTAAGGAAAAAATCTTTTTCCCATTTAGTCATTGGTATTGTTATATCTGGATTTGACATTAGTTTATAAAGGTTAAATATTATCTTCTTTGAGCCTGTAAGCTTCATTATCTCCTCAGTTAGCATGGAAGGTTGTAATGGGTTGTTGATTATATTGATCTTTGATTAAATTATGGACTTTAACTGTTGGTACTGGAGAAATTCTCCAATCCCAACATACTTCTGGACTAAAGTATTGAATCTCTTCAGGACTGTGCATGCGGGAGGGATAAACCCAATAGCGACAGCTCTTAGAGGGCAAAACCTATATGAAATAGAATAATAATTTTAATGTTGATACGTTTCCTATTTGCCTGCAATTCTTGAGTGCAGAGAAATGGAGCCAAATTGAGGAGTAATAGGCTATTTGTCAGATTTGGCGTATAAGGATGTCAAACAGAGTTAGTGGTGGACTCAATTATAAAACCAGACGAACTGAATGAACGAAAAGGTTTTTACTTGTGATAACTAGGCAACCAATACACAGTCCAGGTGTAACAATCAGGTCGAATAGACAGTCCAGGGTCAGCGCCGGTAAACAGGTGTAGCCAGGGGATTCAAAACTCAAGAGGTCCAGGGGAAGCTCAGAAGGTCTGTACATTGCAGGCAATCAGACACTGGAAGGACATAGGCAATAAACGGTGGTCAAAACAAACAATCCAAGGTCAGAAACAGAGTCAGGCAAGGTATGGATGCTGGAGAGTCAGAGCTAGAGTCTAGAACAATCTGGCAGGGATAGGAGGGTGAAGGCTGCTTATATTATGGTGCGAACAGGTGCAAACTATCGGGAGCAGGTGAAACTAATGTAAGTGATTAGTGAACGTAAAGTGACCGAAACAGAGGTGAAAAACAAAAACAGGAAGTAACGTAAAAATAAAAGCCTGACAGGAAGCAACGGAACCGAATCGTGACAATATGCAAGGTTGAGCGCCAAGCTCATTTGGGCACGGAGGTGGCCGAGGACAATCCTCTCCATGGTCTTCATCAGGTGGGAAGTCAGGGCAACGGGTCTGTAATGGTTTGTCTCCTTGGGATGAGTTATTTTAGGAACTGGGACCACACAGGATGTCTTCCACAGAGCCAGGACTCTTTCCAGGCTAAGACTCAGATGTATAGGACCACTTCATTGAGCTGGTCTGCACACTCCCTGATGACCCTGGGGCTGATGTGGTCAGGTCCTTCCTGGCCTTAATCCTCCTTAACTCCCTCCTGACCTGGTCCAGTGTGAGGCTGAGGGGACGGGTGGGCGGTGACTGCTCAGGAGCTGTAGGCTGTTGAGAACTTTCCATGACAGTGGGAGGAGGGGCAAGGTATAGCTGAGGTGTGAGCAGCTGTAGCTACGAGAAGACGACTGACCTGGAGAGGTGAGTCAGGGGGGCTGGCAGGGTGGGGGCTAAGGACTGGGTAGAGTCAAATCTGTTAAAGAAACTATTCTTTTGCCCAGGCCTGGTCTTCCACAACCTGGTGACCATCCCCACTTTTTCCATGCCCTAGATGTGTTTCAGACCTCTCCACACCTCACGTATGTTGTTTGTTTCCACGCTCTGCTCTAGTTTCTTCCCGTAGCTAGCCTTGCACCTCTGGATCATATACTTTAGTTCTCGTTGCACAACAGCAAGTACTACATTAATGTAAAACAAACAAAAAAATAGTAATGATGTTATCTTTGGATCTATTCCAGAGTGCATGGAGCATCTTCAGTATACTGCAGACTGAAACTGTAGCAGCTTGTGAAGTCCTGATGATGTCCTATGACCACCCCAACAGGCAGCATCCATGCCCTTTACTTTATTATGTCACCTCAAAACAAAACAAAACAAAACAAAACAAAACAAAACAAAACAAAAACATACTGCAGTAACATGTCAATAAATTAGTTGAGAGGTTGAGAAATAAACTAAATAACAAATACAGTATGTCTGGTTTGGCTCAGCAACCAAACAGAACAAGATCAGATTCCAGCAGACAGTCAGGACTGCAGAAAAGATCATTGGTGCAAGCCTGCCCTTCATAGAAGACCTGTACACCTCACTGGTCAAAAGGAGGGCAAAGAGGATTTCTGCAGACCTCTCACACCCAGGATACAATCTGTTTGTATTCCTCCTCTCTGGGTGGCGTTACAGGTCACTGTGCACCAAGACAACCAGGCACAAGGACAGTTTCTTCCCCTGTGCTGTTACTCTGATGAGCACTTGACCCATGACAGCATGACTGGACAATAACCCTCACTGCAATACCTTACCCCAGTGCAATACTGGTAAATATACATTGTGCAGATTATACAGATTCGTACAGGTTTCTATTTTCATTCTATTTTTTTCTTGTTTCCTAAAGAACAGTCTGTCTGCATTACTGCCTGTTTATACTGTTTGGTTTGCATTATTTGCCTTGTTTATTAGTTGTTTATACTGTTTATTTTGTTATACTACACAGCCTTATTATATTGGTATATTGTTTACATGGGGATATGTACATGTACATTGAGAGCCACTGTACCACAGTCCACCCCCAACTTCCTGCCAGAGAATCATATTTTGAAAGAAACTTCAGAGTTTTAACCATCTCATTCCCTCCAGTTTCACTTCTGCCAATCAGTGACTGATGTGGATCACCTTGCTAATGCCACTCACCTGTTATTTATTATCTCTGTCCTTCATATACTGCTTTACATCTCCTCTTCAGTTGCTGGATTGTTGTCTATGGTACGCCTTGTCTTTTTTTATCTGTTGTTTGTCACTGGCGCTGTATTTTACCTGCCTGTAGTGATGGCAATATAAAGCTTCCTGATTGAAGCCTTCCACCCAATTGGTTCGCAAAAGGGTTCATTTCTCGAGGTTTCATGTGCTCACAAACCATATGTTTTTGTCTCCCCTTATTAATGTGTTTGTGCTTGTTTGTAAATTGTGTGCATAAGAGTTTCTTGGCTGATACATTGTAATCGGTGTTCCGTGGTAGTGGTACACATTCCAAAGTGAAGCTCCTCCTTTACATCAGTAATTGAAAAAGTCATATAATAATGACAGGGGCAATTATGTTTTCAAACTGTGGCAGTGTCAACAAGGAAGAGGAAAGTGAATATGCTTGTGAACAGAGAAGGGAAGTGAAGGTGTTTGTCAAGTCAAAGTCAAAGTGTTTGTCATATGCACAGTAAGGAAAAAATCTTTTTCCCATTTAGTCATTGGTATTGTTATATCTGGATTTGACATTAGTTTATAAAGGTTAAATATTATCTTCTTTGAGCCTGTAAGCTTCATTATCTCCTCAGTTAGCATGGAAGGTTGTAATGGGTTGTTGATTATATTGATCTTTGATTAAATTATGGACTTTAACTGTTGGTACTGGAGAAATTCTCCAATCCCAACATACTTCTGGACTAAAGTATTGAATCTCTTCAGGACTGTGCATGCGGGAGGGATAAACCCAATAGCGACAGCTCTTAGAGGGCAAAACCTATATGAAATAGAATAATAATTTTAATGTTGATACGTTTCCTATTTGCCTGCAATTCTTGAGTGCAGAGAAATGGAGCCAAATTGAGGAGTAATAGGCTATTTGTCAGATTTGGCGTATAAGGATGTCAAACAGAGTTAGTGGTGGACTCAATTATAAAACCAGACGAACTGAATGAACGAAAAGGTTTTTACTTGTGATAACTAGGCAACCAATACACAGTCCAGGTGTAACAATCAGGTCGAATAGACAGTCCAGGGTCAGCGCCGGTAAACAGGTGTAGCCAGGGGATTCAAAACTCAAGAGGTCCAGGGGAAGCTCAGAAGGTCTGTACATTGCAGGCAATCAGACACTGGAAGGACATAGGCAATAAACGGTGGTCAAAACAAACAATCCAAGGTCAGAAACAGAGTCAGGCAAGGTATGGATGCTGGAGAGTCAGAGCTAGAGTCTAGAACAATCTGGCAGGGATAGGAGGGTGAAGACTGCTTATATTACGGTGCGAACAGGTGCAAACTATCGGGAGCAGGTGAAACTAATGTAAGTGATTAGTGAACGTAAAGTGACCGAAACAGAGGTGAAAAACAAAAACAGGAAGTAACGTAAAAATAAAAGCCTGACAGGAAGCAACGGAACCGAATCGTGACAGTTTCTTTTAAATGTTTCAAAGTCGCTTGTTTTTCATATCTAGGCAGTTACATTGGTGTTCTCGTGAATTCTCACAAGTCATTATTTCTTTGTTTATTTATCATAGGAAACTTTTTGCCCGCAGTTATTTAAGCGTTATGGCTGTTAGCCAATCAGAAAACAGCTTACATGGAAGTGGTTTAGTGCGTTGCCATGTCAACAAACCACAACGAAGTTGACTTGAGCGAGTGCTTCATGTAAATCCACTTGCGGAGTGGTAAGACTTTGATAAATTTCTTTTGACAGTACAACAAGACATCAGGGTTAACCGTTTCCGAGGTTTTCCGAGTGTGTTTACCCAGGTATAATATATAAAAGACTTTATAGCCGAGTAGAAAAATCCGCTACCCCGGCAATTCTAAGTAGCTTATTTTGTAAAGCGACCTAACAATAACGTCGACGTGTAACTGTCGTTTTAAGTACTTACAAAAAAATTTGGCCAGTCTGAAGTAGGCTTAAATAGTGGCGGCTATGGCGCGCGTTGCACTACCGTTTTAAATTAGGTTAAGCAAAACCTAAGCCGAGCAGACACTACGACTTTTATTGATCATATACGATATGTTGACTCGCACCATACGTTTAAATTGGCCCGACCACGTGGCCAGACTCAGCGACTTCACTGTTCACACTGTACATGTAACCCTGGAACAGCTGAGGTCAACCAGAAGAAAAGCAGTATTACATTTAGCTAGTTTACTTTTCACAGCCGATGAACAGCTGTAATCTGCTGCCAGTCTTTCTCTTGTTGCTGTAGATCATGGCAAGGTTTGGATGACACATTGTACAGTGTGGCGCTGCCAGAGCCTGATTAGTCTCGCCCATATAGGGTTTATAAATGTAATATATGCAATGTATGTCCCCAATTCAGTTGATTCTGTCAACAACAACAATACAATTGGGACTTAAGTAGAATGATCTAATATTCATTGTCTTCCCTTTCATGTCATGGTGTCCTATTCTTTATCTTGCAGGCGTTTTTTCTACAAAACACAGTCAAGATGACAGCCATTCAGATTCCCACAAGACCAAAGTGGTTAAAAAGCACTTTGCCTTATGACCATAGACTTGTTCTAAAAGAGGACAAGCCAAAAAAGGTGAGGAGGATATCACGCTTTTGCATTTTCTCTGTAAACTGACATTTCCCAGTTCTTATTGATTTTTATTATGAAACATTATGGCACTGCTACCGCTTATGAATTAGACAGAATTAGAAGTATCCAGCTAAAATTAATCTCAGGTTTAGTCTATTCCCTCAACAGTTAACAGGGGACCAGTTTTCTGTGACCATACATTGTGGACATTGAACCATTCTTTGAAAGAAGCTGCTTCAAATGAAGGATTGGCCTAATAATTACCTTGGTTACTTATAGGGAACAAAAATCAACATCTGACTTCAGTGTTTTGCTGAAGTGACCCCAGCTGAGCACAGCCTCTGTTCTCTCCTTGTGTCTATACCTAGTGCACGTGACAAGAGTAGAAAGGATTTTACTTGATTTTTTTTTTTTCAGGTCAGAATGAGATCCATAAGATTATCTGCCCTTAGAGTTAAATACATTGATTTCAACCTAAAGTGTGATGGCAGCTTATTTGTAACCATGTAACAAAAAAGTTTTGTGAACTGTTATGCTTGTAATTCTCCCTGTAAACATCAAATTATCTGCATTTTAGCAGAAGTCACCATCTTAAGAGAGGCCACAATATTCTGCATCTTGCCTTTTTTAAAGAATAGTGTTTACACAAGCAACTTTCTTGTCTCTGAATAATAAAAGAGTGCATTACGAATACACACCTCATTTAGAGGTGTGCAGCTTTTAAAGCTTTTGAGCTATTGAGCTAGCAGCTATTAAATGTTACATATACAGTAACCCTCCTCCTACATTATTCATGTAAATTTTAAGCTAAAACCCTTTTCTGACCTAATGTTTATATAGGCTAAGTGCAGTTAGATGTTTCTTTGCTTGTGGTGCCCTGATAAAGAGGTGCCAGAGAATTTTGTGGAGAGGATATTAACTACAAAGTGCTGCAGATGGTCCTCACTGGTTGGAAGAATATTAACATGTTTTGAGTGCATGATATCAGCTAATGTTCCTGTCTGTAACTGATGCATATGTGTGCATATGCACCAGTTGTGCATATGTCAGCTGATAGCTTTACACTGACAGCCTACAGTTCTTGTACTCATATTTTCCATTTTCCCTATCAGCAGTTTAGAGTCTGATTTAAGAGATAGGAAACAGGCTATCAGTGTAGTTTGCATACTACACTGCGCCGCTGTGTGTTTACAGGTGACCCCATCAGTTTATACCCAGGAGATGTTACAGTCTACAGAGGAGCGCCTGGCTAACACCACTGAGATGCACCCACCTCGCATTCTGGAGCTGCTTGACATGAGCAACACTACGCCTCACAAAGTAAAGTACCTCAGTGGTTTTATAACATAAGGATATACAAAAAGGTATAGAGGACACATTCTGTACACTTTTCTAATGTCACTTATGCTCTATATGTGGTGCATTTGTATAACACTCTCTAGCTCACAATTACCACACCTAACAATTAGTAGAAAGTCACTTTCGGCTTTTCCCGTTTAGGGGTTGCCACAGCGAATCGTCACACTGACGACTCGGATACAATTCAGATTTGACCCCTGTGCATTGAACTAACATACAATACATTAATAAATCTATCTAAATAAGAAGAACTGACTGTGGTAGGCTTATTGGAAAGATAGATAAGACAAGAAAAGACAACACATTCAAACTTCTCTTATTTTATCACTAATCACCTGCATACCGTGCGCGTGCTGTCTGCTAAGGTCATTTACATTATACCAGTGCTGCTTCTCCTTAGTCAGCAGGCACTAAGTGATGTGCAGAGGGCAACCAATGTGACAGAGTGCTCTGCACTTTGAGAGCCAGGATTTAACAGGGTGCTGGGGGCAAAAATATCATCAAATGTTTCTGCACTCTCATCATAATAGCACCCATTTTTGCATGTCACCTTGCTCCCAGTGTGTAGGTGATAATTGGAGAGATAACCAGTAGGATCTTTGTAGGTCATCCTGAAATCATACAGTGTTTTTATGCCTCTGCCCCAATAGCTGCCATCAGAGGCATTATGTTTCTGAGTTGTCCGTGTATTCCTCTGGCTTGTTCTTGTGAACATGATATTTCAGGAACATCTAGAGGCAATTTCTTCAAATTTGACATGTGTGCGTTTGAACTTAGGGATGAACTGGTTAGATTTTGGTGGTCAAAGGTCAAAGCTTTGACTGTATATGTGATGAACATCCTGAGAGCTCACAGAATTGAAACCACTCCAGGTCATATGGTGGTTGGTTGCAGGATAGGTCATAAAACCCACCTCACATTTGGGACATGAGCCAAAGTACAAATCAAAAATATTTCTCAGAGGTGATTTCTGTCATTTTTGGTAGATATTATCATGTGTACAAGTGGTAATTTTTCTGTTAAGTGTGTTTTTAATAAGTTATTTGATGATATAAAAAGTTTCAGTTGATTTGACAACTTTAATTTCTGGTCATTACTGCACAGAGTCTCTTAGTAAAAAAGCAAGATGGCAGTCACTATATTCATATATTCGCTTCAGTTTTGCATAGTGGAAGGAAGTGGTGACGTGTCAGTCAGTGGGTCAAAGTCACAGTTATCTCATATCCATTCCATTCTTGTGAAGGTGACATGTCAAACATGCCTTGAGGGAATTTATTCAAATTTGGCACAAACATCCACTTGAACTTAAGCCTGAACTGATAAAATTTTGTTGGTCAGATGTCAGAGGCAAAGATCACAGTAACCCATTCCCCTGATTGACAGAGGCATACAGCGCAAAGTGGTAATTCTAGGTTTTACACCGTGTTTACACTTGCGGTGATACAGTGACAGAGAATAAATCACTCAGGTTAACTTTAGAAGAGTATATTTTCTCAAACATATTATAAAATCTTGGTTAAGAAATACCTCATGAACAAAACAGTAAGATGGATAAATGACATAAATATCCTAAAATAAATGTAATGTAATGTAAGAGATAGATAAAATGGACTGCAGGGTTTTCCTTACACCATCGGTTTTTAGACATTAAGTTCACTTTATTTGCCATGAGCAGTTCTACTCACTAGCTGTATAATGTGTGCAGTGGCTCTGGAGAGACAGTCATGTCATCAGTGTAATGTTGGATTGGGCTAGAGATTTCAAATTTATATTAAACTCCAGTGTGACTGACTTGAGGTATAAAGTGTGAAAGATGCCAACATCTATGAGAAGGGATGACCTTGTAAAAAATTCTGTTGCTTTGCATTATGGGAATTGGAGAGTCCACTGTGTTAGGAGTTTGATCCTCAACAGGGACTAAAAATCAGGATATCCCGACTTCTGCTACTTTGATGTGGACCTTTTAATAAAATCCATCTTAGGTGAGTCATCCATCAGTAAAGTGAAATGAAAAGCCAAACCCCCGAGTATACCCTTAGAGAATGTCAAATCATCTGCTTCCCAAAAAGGGCAGTAGATGCAGTTTTATAATGCAAATTTTACAATCATGTTTCTGAAATTGAAAACAGAACTGCTGAGAGTCCATTAAAAGTGGGTGACTCTGACAGCATTTATTATTTAATTACTGTGTTTATTCTGTGTTATTTTAGTGTTCGTATGTGTGTGTTGTCAGATGTCCATCGTAGCTGTGGACCAAGCACTGTTCCAGCCCTACCCATCAGAGCTGGTTTTCCAGAACTTCACTCCAGGACAGACCTACAAGTTACCGCTACTCCTCTTCAACAATGACAAGGTGTGTGAATAAGTGATGAATAAGTAAACATTTACACTGTCAGTATATCTGCTGAGCTAATGTTTCAATCAAGAATAGCTGCTTAACAGAATAGAAGGAACACGTTCGATTGGAAAGCTTTGAATTTAGCAGCAGAAGAAAGAAGTATTCACAATGTGTGTGTGTGTGTGTGCCTGGCATTACTCATATTGTAGAGACCAAAACCTTGTTTACACACTCACACTGAGGGGACTTCCACCCTATAAAAGAATTTTAGAATGACAACTTGGTTTAAGGATGGTGTTATGGTTAGGCAAGTAGTGGTTATGGTTAAGGTTATTGTAAGTCTCCATGAGGAATTAAAACAAATGTGTGTGTGTGTGTGTCACAGGGTGTAGATTGTGTGTAAGGAATAGAGGATGTTTGGTAAAGGTCATAGGGAATTGGATTGGAGATTTATTGCTATAATTTGTACAAGAAACCACAAAGTAATAATGGATAAATCATCACTTGTGGATTTACCAGGCTGTGTTTCTGTTGCTGTGTGGGATTTGCAGTTTTGTGAAGTTTGTGTGATATTTTCTTTTTGTCAAGGTTTCACGACAAGTGAAGCTCAAGTTCCAAGACACAGAGTATTTCCAGGTGGTCGGTCCAGACGAGGCGGGAAGCAAGGTTGCACCAGGAATCTCTGCTACTTTCACTGTGTTCTTCACCCCGCAAGAGAGCAAGGTACTGGACACAGAGGGGAACCTGAATGCTCCAGAGAATAATCACACAGTGAAGGCTAGATTCAGAGAGAAAAGCGAAGCATCAGGAAAACATGTGCTCAAGAGGATAATGTAGAATTTAGATTAGATGAAGATGTAAGGGCTGTAGGGAAGTGGAGGGTAGGATGTTGGTAACAGTGTGAAAACTCCCAGGTAAGCACTCCTAGACAGTAATACACCAAAAAATACACAGATTAGGTAAATAATATAAAACAATGACACATTATAAATTAAAATGGATGCCCTGATTTTGCACTGATATTTTGTGCACAAATCTGTTAAGGCCAGAGTCAGAACATTTAAAGGCAAGCATCAGCCTTTTGTCTGTCTTACTGATACAGTGGGTGAAAGAGAAAATTGAGATTCAAAGGTCAACATGAAATGTAGCTTATATTAAAAGCAACATAGTCCCTTGTGTGTGTGATGGCTGTTTTACAGGGCTCATAACACTTAACTGTTTTTAGCTATGCTAGTGGCATGGTTCTAGGGATGTAATGCTGGTTTGTCAGTTATTCGGGCACCACAATGATATCACAGACTGAAATGTCTCAAAAACAATTGAATGGGAATTTGGTACAAACATCTGTGGTCCCTATACAGTAGAATGAATCTTATTGACTTTAGTACTATCCCTAAGTTGACACAAGTGCTTTTTATTGAAATCTCTTGACAATTTTTAGACATATTTTAGATAGATACTTTTAATGCTAATTATTAAATGTTAGCATGTTAATAAGCTAAACCAAGATGGTGAAGGTACATATTCTTGGTAAACATCAGCATGCTTGTATTGCCACTGTGAACATGTTAGCATGCTGATGTTAGTATTTGGTTCAATTCATCGATGTACCAGCCTCATATGTGCTCTTAGACTTGTTATTACAGGTCTTGCAGCTGCTTTGCTAATTGGTATACACGTGTTTTATTCGAAAATACTAAAAATAATGGTTTAGTACCTAACTGACTAATTGATACACAGACTATGTGGGTGTGTGTGTGAGGCAAAACAAATACTTCAATAATATAAATACGTTAGAATTGGACCCATTTTTGACCATTTTCACCATTCAGGACTACCACCACAGACTGGTTTGTGTGACAGAGAGGGAGCGGTTTGAGGTCCCAGTCCGTGCTATCGGACCACGTGCCATTCTTGACTTTCGAGATGAGCTCTATTTACCCCTTTGTGCAGTGAAAGCTTCTACACAGAAGACTCATCTAGTGCGCAATATAGGAAACAGTAAGGCCAAGTTCAAGCTACAAACACAGAGGTGAGAGTCTGTGTGACTACTGAGTTTGAGTGATTTAGGCACTGTGTTTATTATACGACTGCAATGACCATTTTTCAATACCTAATGAATAAATACACATTTGTCAATGTATAAACATTTAATTTATACATGAATTCACTAACCCAGAATCACAACCCGATGGTGAACATTTTGCAAGTGTTCACAAACACACTTGGTATTTGTACTTGGTATTAGTTAACATTTGTTTAACGTTATTAAAATAAGCAGTGAATATTTTAGGTTTCTTCTGTCAGTTGCTAAAATGACATCAGCTGTTATAAAACATCATCTGTTTTTTAGTCCACCCTCTGGAGTTCTATTCTGTTCCATTTATTCCAGGCCTTTCTCAGTGATGCCCTCATCTGGGACTCTTGATGTAGGTGAGAGCATGCAGGTGACTGTGGATTTCCACCCCATGAGTATAGGAGACCACAGTCAGGACTTGGTGCTGCACTACCACACTGGTAAGAGGAAGGAGGACGCCTCTGAAAGCAGCCTCTGATGAAGCTAGCGTAATTTCTTGATTTCCCAGAGCTGCAGTGAAATATTTAAACAATAAATGTCCTAATCAGCATCCAGATTTTTTTTAATATAATAAGAATGACCTTGTTGCAGTGTGTATATCACCAGCTGTGTTATTTTTCTGTCTAAAGATTTTTCTGGAACCTACATTTTAGAATAGTTTAAATTGAGGTGGCAAGTTTTCGTTTTTCTTTTAATCTGTCATAATTATGGGTGTGATGATACATTTAGCTCACGAGACACGACAAAACACGATACTGAGCTCACGAGGATGAGAGGATATTTTAACACTTTTTAATGATGAAATATTTGACTGGAAAAATTGTATTTGACTGACAGTCACAAAATGCAAAACAGTGCAGGTGCATTTTGAAATGTTTTAACTGATTATCTTGTAATGAATGTCACTTCAGTTCTACTTTCTGAGTATGAATTATCATATGCAGTGAAAGACAACAGTATACAAACACTGTAAAAGGTTTTGAACAAACTCAGCTGACTGGCTTCTCTCCTGTATGATTTCACATCAGACATTTAACTGTGCATGAGCTTCTAACTTCTAACTGAAGCTGTGTGTGACCTCCTATGCTATTTTCACCCTGACCGCACTGAACCAGATGGTGACATCATCCAGCAAAGGCATTGTGTTGACCGATCACGTAATGAGATGATTGGGATGTAAACACCCTGTAGTCTCGTCGTTTACCTTGTTAGCATGAGCATTCGCTGCTATTCACTGTCAAATCTGAGCCACAGTTAGAGCACCATAATGACATGCCATGCATTTTGTTAGTAGTGGATCTTCAACAGTGTTGTTATCTATCAATGCAGACACACTGGTGGTAGAATTGGTGCTAAGGGAGAGTAGGCTACATTAGCAACGGAATCTCACGGGCTGGAAACATGAATGAAGCCACTCATGTCTACTTGTCACAACATGGCTGTATCGTACATGCCTACAACACTCCTCCCTGCAACCCCTCATCCCCTGACCGACGTAGCCCTGTGTGTTAAAACACAGCAGGGAGTTACATTTTTGCTGGACTACTGATATTGCGAGACAGCTTTTACCTCGATGAGAAATATCGTCACATTTTAATATCAGGAGATCTTGTGGCACAAGATCTTGTCACACCACTAGTCAGAATGTATTTCTTTCTATCCTTGTCAAACTATTTCACACACATAGATTTAATTTGGCTTTGTGAAAATCTGAACATCTGATATGAAATTGAATTATAAATATTCTGTAATATTATCAATATTTTATCTATGCAACTTTTTTTGTAAAATATGCGCACACAAATGCATCCACACAGTCAGACTTCAAATTATAGGAAAAGTGTCACTTCTGCAAAGTACATTCCTGTTATACTTCTTCTGGCCTGACATACACACACAGACACAACGAACAGACATAGATGGAAGCTGAGAATTTGAAACTCCAAAAGGAGTTTGCATAAATCAGCAATCTCAAATGGAGCCAAACCAAAAGGTTGAATGTGTTTATTATAATCACAGAAGTAAACACCATTAAATAAATACATCTGCAGCAGTGGTAACCCTGAAGCAAGCTGGGACAGCTAAACAGGGCCCACTATTGACACACAGAAACACAAACAAAACAATGGATAGATACTGTAGTCTCGTCAGTCCAGCAGAGTTTGATGTTTAAGGCTGGTAGACAGGCATTCACTTTAGTCAGATGTGTCTGTTTCATTCTTTACTTTTAACATTATTTCATCTGTGTGTTGCATATGAGCCCTTATCAGACTTTTCCATCCATATGTCTATATGTAGCAGTCCAGCACAAATAGAGCCCTCACTTCAAATGGTCTTGTTTTTGCTGCTTGATTTAAACCTAATAGTGTTAATATGGTTGGTTATTACAGGTGCTTTGGAGCTTATGTGGGCATGTGTTTACCTGTGTGTATGGGCTATGAAGTCAAAGGTGCCAATATTCAGCAGTGCGTGTGCAATTATGCATGTGCAAAATGAGTATGTAAACAGTACAGTTGGAATTACATCAGGTAGATCCTGAGTCAGCTTTTTCACTTCACAGTAGCTCCTCTTGCTTCTCCCAGAAACTCAGTACTATCTCTGGATCTCAGATTGTCTCAGCATAGTACAGGAATCATGCAAACTCGCACTTGAGTCTAGTGTTGGATTTGAAAATTTGGCAGACTGGCTCCACCTTTTGCATATCAGTACTCAAAGCTTGGTGCATACCACAAAAACATGACTAGCACTGAGACAGACGGTCTAATGCCAGATTAGGTGTCATCAGATCATAAAGATCATAAAGATAAATGGTGACTGACTAATATTTTTGCTTTCACTTTTTTGTGATAAATCAGCTCATTTGTGATCATCTTAGTATTTCTGAGTGATTTCATGGATCTACTCAACTTTTGTAGAGGGCTTTTTAAGGGTTGCCTTAGTTGTTTTCACAATTATCCATACTCCTTGACATCATAGACAAAAAGGTGAAGCTTTTATACATAACTGAGGGGATCAGTTAGAGGTAAAAGGAGTTTTTTGTGTTTGTGTGTACTGTAAAAGTATTCAGTATTTTTGTTATCTGTGATCATGAAGGGGTAGAGGTGCTGTGTAGCTATGTAAACAAGCAAGTCTGCTGAAAGACTGGCAACAGCAGCAGCAGCATTAAGGTTTTATAATAGGAGGGCCAGCCTGGGTCCAGAACATTGCTTACAGCCCATCAAGAGACTGGCATTTTTAATTTAGCACTTTTTCCTGTTTCCATCACTCTCATGTATGTTGCATGGGCTGTGGGAAACTGCAAGAAAAGCTAGCTGATCTAGACTGTGTGTGCATGTTCGTGTTAGCGTTTTGTGTGTCAGTCTGCATGTACAGCATTGTACTTATAGGAGGTACACACTGTGTCTTTAATGTCCTGTTGACTGTTTAAAGCCGATGAGGCTTTGAAGCACAGCTCACTTGTTTTCCATCATGGTGTATTAGGCAAGCCTTGTTCTGTCTTAAAAGTGAGATCATGTGCTGTTCTATGCCCCACCCACCTCCACACACACACACACACACACACACACGTCACTGCTGCTGATTTAAATGAAAAGACAGACAGCTCTTAGGGAGAACTGAGGCATCGGCTATAGCAAGGGACTTCAGTAGAGCAGACTGTCAGAAAAGCAGCACACTCACACAAGCAGTAAGCAGCTGCACATAAACATACACACACTCAGTTCTAAGTACAACGCACCACATAGACACACACATGCTGCATAGCTGCTGTAATCAAAGGTAGCTAATGGGGAATGAGAAGTCCCCTAGCTGCACATAAAGAAATTATGGGAAGAGAAAGCAAGCGTGGGGAGGATGGGCTGGTGGACAGCAGTGATGAAAGCTTAGCAAAAAGCCTGTGCTCTCCCTGCCTGTCAACTGTTATCACAGCATCCGGATGCTGGGAGATAATAGGTTTTTGCTCTGCATCCCCCAATTCGTTTCTCTCTCATCCACATTTCCTTCCATCACTCATCTTCTGCCCTCTGTGTTCCATTTTCTGTTTTCTTCTTCAGCCAATGATATTCCACGGCTTTGTAGTTTTTCTTTTTAGCAGAACTGGCTTTCACTGGAAATGTACCAGTCTGTTTTGTATTCCCTGCAAGTACATGATAATTGGCCTGCTCGAAGCAAACACAAGCATTCCTTGAATTCTAATAGCGTTTTCGCTGTTGGCCATTGCATAGTCATTGTGCAGATTTTAGTTAACCTACTGTACATTCATCACAATTTGGTTTGTTTTCTTTTTCCCTCTTGACTGGGGTCACTTTGTTGTCAATACATTTTAAAGCTAAGTAAGTCACACTGGGAGAGTTTTGCTTCTATAGAGGCTTTCATGTTACTCAGAAATGAGGTATCTCTGCTCCCAATTAATCACTGTGGCGCACTCATATTAAAGCTTAGGCCAAGATGGATTAAAGGCTCTGCACTGAGCTCCTCTTTTGGAAATTCCACACATTTGCTTATTATTGGAAGAGATGTTTTAGATTTGGTTGATAGTTCATCAATGCATTGGCCAGTCAGATACATGCAAGATCATATTCCTGGTAGACTATTTTGTAATATGACTATTACATTTCTTCTGTTTGTTTTTCACCAAAGATCATAGAATAGCTGCTGTTGTGATAACTTTTCAAAGTTGTAAAATCCTGTCTGTGAGTATGACAAACCCCTGTGAAATGTTTTGTGTTACAGATTAATCTAATATTCCAACTGGTCTTTCTGAATCATATTTTATTGCCTCACTGGTTTTCTGTGACCCTTTCCTTGACCATCCCCAATTTCACTGGTTTTGTAATCTTTAAACTATTTCTACTTTCATAACTATTTACCTCAGTTTTATTTTATTTACTGTTGCTATTGCTATTAACACTCATAGAATTCTGCATATATGCTTGTGTGCATTTTTACATGTGAAGTTTCATAAAGTGTGCAGAAAGTTTTTGGTAGTAGAAACTGAATTTAAGTAGAAATTGAAACTGAAGTTGAGTGCTATCTCATGTGCACAATATGTATATATAGACTAACACAAACAAGGTCCAGAGATAAAACTAATGGACTCTATGTTTTTTATTTGTTTCTTGTGTATTGTTTCTATCATCATCCTTGCTGTGTGTTGTTGCACTAAGTTTACTTTGTTACCGTGGTAGCCAGTCAGTGAGTAGGGAACTCTTGGGCTGTTATCACTGAGCCTGTACCTGTGGGGATATGTGTTTGCAACGCTAGTCAGGCTTTTGTTACAGCGATGCTGGGGCTGTTGGTCATTTTCATACCAGTTTTACATTGCCTAACCCATGCCATGTACAAGCAAGGGTTATAAAACCTGCAGCACTTTAAAGCTGCAGATGTAGACATGCTGATGATGCCTTCTACAGGGAAAGACAGTAATAGCTTCTGTATTTTACTGTAATAGTTGAAGTGTCACAGTTCAATTTTTTTCTTAATTGTTTCAGTCTATTTTCTGTAGACAAAGCTAGTAATAAAGAAAATGTAGACAAGTAGGTCCAGTGTTGACCCCGACCAGTGAATTGGCTTTGACAGACACATGAGTGTGGGCTTATATTGTACTGTACAGAATTTCAGCCAAATAGTAACAAATAACAGCAGTATAGAAATGCCTGACAAGTGTTTGCAATAATTTCTCACATAGTTTGTCCACCTGTGAGCGCAAACAAGTAAATATTTCTTTCATAGTAGAAATATTGTTCAGAATATTTTACAGCCAAATTTGAAGGTTCATTACAAAAATGTCAGTTTATGATGTTTTAAAATCACCCAGCATGCTTTCATGATTTTTGAATATCTGAATTGGTATGAACTGCAGTTCTGAAGCCGCTAATACTGTAGCTTTGCAGCTGGATGAATGTTCTGGGCCATTCTTAAATTCTAATCAGTTGAAGTACACTAATATCATGTCAGTCCACAAAATGTTTGCTTTTACTGCTTGAGCAGGATTTTACAGAGCAGAGAGCAACCTTCCATTCTCAAAAATTGTCTCACTTATAGTAATTTTATTGACCAAGGTATTTGTGTTTTAATTGGCACAAGGGGATTTTTGTATATATCGTAAAGAAATTCTGAACCACAGAAGCACACAGAGAGGAGAAACCCAAATTAGTTATTCAAAGTTCCTATTCAGAATTCCAAAGTTCCTATTCAGTCCCTTATATTGCATCCAGATTAATGAGTGTGTGTGTGTGTGTTCAGTTGGACTTGTGATGGAAAATTGTTCATATTTCAAAAATATATCCTCTTCACCCATACAATCATAAATAATCTCAGGATAAGCACTGCTTTTCTACAAGCTGAAGCTTCACTCTTTCTCATTTGAATGTTAAAAAAAACACTAAATTTACATTAGACCTTGTTCCAGGTGGCTTTATACAAAACCTAGTTTTGCATCTCGTCTTTGTTGCTTGTTATTGTTGCTTGTCTGTCATTGTTGGAAGTGTGCACACTGGTGGTGGTGCCTGCTACCACAGAGACTCATTAGATGTCCTGTTAACCATTAAGGACTTTGTCTCTTGTGGCTTATGGTTTTGAAACTTTATTCCAGATACTTTTCTATTGTGTTGTCCTGGTAAAATAATATTTACCTTAAGTCTACTATGTCTACTATAATCTAACACTTTTCATATTTCTTTCAGCCTGATGTATTTCACATTGCAGCAACTCTAAAAGGCTTTGGCAGCATCATAAAGCAAGCTGTTTCAGATGCCAGTTTTACAGGATATTTTGAGAGCCGTTTTAATCTCTCTGCCAGGCTCCTTTTGATCCAGATCCAGTGTTTCAAAGTTAGACTCTGCAGTGTGTCCTTGAGTCCATTGTGGCTTTCTCCTTCTGTATATTCCCAGCCCACATTAGGCCTGGGACAACCCAGAGGAGCAGCAGCGGTAGGATTTTGTTGTGCTGGGCACCTTCCCACTGAGTATTCTATGTAGACTGCAGTATATCAGTGCATATACACTTAAGGTCTGTTTTAATAAGGAATTAGCTCCAAATTAGCTTGTTTGTTAAATAAGCTGCAAAATCAAAACTAGAAACTCTTTCTGGTAACATGTAGTTTTACAAATATGAGGCAAAGAGTTAAAGAGAGAAAACTATCAAGAAGACTGGTGAGACATTGAGATGTGTTATCACACAGTGTTATGCTACTGTTACATCAAGGGATGTGTATATTTTACATAAAACAGACAAAAACCCCATTTATCTCAATGATAAGCTGACAGAGTAAATTTAAATTCTATGTGTCTGCGGTTTGGAGAGTTGGAGAGGCTGAAAGGGCAGGGCTTGTTTCCTCAGGATATGCTACTTGGCTTTTTCTCTTTATATTATATCAAATATACCTATGTACTGTATATCCCTGCTTTACTTCAATTTTGAATTTTATTTACCAAGATTTACAGTTCTGGTACAGTATTAATCCTTAAATGTTAATTCATTATTTATCCCTACTTTGTTGTAAAGGGGCTGTGTCAACTAACAGTATAACCATTTATCATATTTTTGTTGTGTTGGTAATGTGGGATTTCAGGTAATTCAATATATGACATCAGTTTACTCCTGTGAGTCCTGAAGATGTGTTTGCTTTAAGGAGGAAATTGTTTATTGAAATGATTCCCTGAAGAGCAGTGCTTTGGAACCACTTACTGTATGTTTATGTTAACTCAAAAAGAAAAGCCATATTCATGACACTGTAAGAATTTAGCTACAATGCAGATGTCATTTTTATTATAAACAAGCATTTAGCTTCATTCCTAAAACCTTAAAGCCCCTTTTTAACCTTGGCTATAGACCAAGCATATAAATTGTTTCAAACACTGCCTTTTTAAGGACCTTTTTGAGAACAGTCTGTTAACTTCACTTGATGCCATAGGTAAAAATAAAATCATGACATTCCAAGCTTAAATTTGTAGCTATTTTCAAAGCCCATAGCTTTGACATTAAATGCTGGAACTTGTTTCTGCTTCCTCCACACAGTGGCCTCACGGAGGACTGTCCTAGTTCTGAAATAGATCTTAGGGGTTATAGTATACAGTGTTTCAAGATTATATGATATTATTCTGGTTGTCTGTGCTACTATGGATATATATATTATAGGTTGCAGTAAGTGGCTTGCACTTCTCAAATGCATACATGGGACCCCTTTTCCTGAGTGAAATTTGTTCCCATTTGGACAAAAGGACATAGTGAATGTCCTCATAAATTAATAACAGCAGGTCAGTCAACTTAAACAAATTATGTTTCACAATTTCAACCTACATTTTTTTGCTTGTTATTATGTACATACACGTTTGGCTTCTGAGTTGATTGATTTTGGGTGGTTGAAACTAACCCTCCTTCATCTTACTTGTTCAGAATATTTATTTGAACTGGAAAATGGATTTATTCATCTGTTAAAATCTTTATTGCCTTCACCCCACAACTCATGTGAGCATCTCTGGATCAGTAGCATGTGATGAAAAGTCTACGAGTAAAGCTGCATGGATATGTGTGCAATTCTGTATATTGTCTTATTTTTGCTCAGGGGAAGATGTGTACATCAGTTTGTATGGGGCTTGTGAGGAGCTGAACATCCATCTTAAGCCTGATTCTGTACTGCTGAAGAAGACTTACATTTCCCTGGCCAATGTGCACACAGTGTCCCTCACCAACAGGAGTGAGATCCCTCTTCAGTTTTGTTGGTCAGCATGGTCCAGCCAGGAAGATGAAGACCTGAACTTATCAAGGTACAGAATGTATATATCCATATAAACAGAGAAAAGTGTTGTGGATTTCATGATTTTTTAGAAGTGTAGGCTGTATGCTCGTGTTGCAAGTACTGTTAAATTACCCGCTGCTACCTGGCAACGCTTGCTTTTTAAAATGTATTTACTTATTTTAACCAAAGCATGTACTCACTGGCCACTTTATTAGGTACACCTGTACAATTGTATGAAATTCAATGCAACACTTTCACCTTAACATCTGTGTTTATGAAACTGAAAATGTGTCTTTTTTTGGTGAAAATGTTAAAAATGTATAAATTCATTTATATGTTTACTGAGGTCATAATTAAAGGTGATGCTGTACTGGACTGCATTATATTTAGAGGTGACTATATTTTTGTCCTACTCGGCTACATACATGAGTGGGTCAGAATGTTAGGAATAGCTGAGGTGACCATCACTTTCTTTCTGTCAGCTACTCTATGTTCGTCTCTCTGCTTGTTGGTCACTCGGACCCTCCTCATTTCTGTCTTTGTGCCCACCCGTAGGGAGAGTTCAGCGCTCCAGCAGAAGGAGGAAAAGGAACATTTGCCTTTTCAGGCCCTCTCACACAGCTGCATAACTGTGGAACCAGTGGTGTGTGTTTTTTTTTTTTTTTTAATTTACTGTATGAACATCCTCTCTCTCAGGAAACCTGATGGCTGTAAAGACAAATGAGAATCAAAAAGATCAGATCTAGATTCAATATGTCACAAACACAGGGGTTGCAAGCCAGTGACTTCTGTGCTGGTCCCAAGCCCGGATAAATAGAGAGGGTTGCGTCAGGAAGGGCATCCGGCGTAAAAACATGCCAAATTTAAACATGTGAATCATCATTGAGGACATGAAGTTTATTGGGGTAAGAGTAGAGGATGCCGAGGATAGAGTTAGGTGGAACAGATGATTTGCTGTGGCGACCCCTAATAGGAACAGCCGAAAGGAGAAGAAGAAGTTAGGATAAACTGTTGCTCATGCGTAGAACTACATATGGAAAAAATACTTGCACACTGACAAAACAAAAAATAAGCTCTTCAGATACCATACATTAAATTTGATTTCATGTGTAAAAAAATATGAATAAAATGTGAACCTTTTAGTCAAATGACCATCATCAGTACAGCTTACAGACCCTGTCACTCTATAGACATAAATAGACAATCAGGTTATCAGTAAAGACCAATCAGGACAAAAGAAGCCAAGATCATGAGGTGTTCCACATGAACTCATTAGCCACTAAGATCAAATTACACAACCTGCATGAAGGGCAGAATATGAACACGATATGAAAACACCTTATTAACACCTACGGTAATAGCTAAAAACTGGCTACTCAGCTCTTGCTGTCTCAGCAGAGCATCCAACATCCATGAAAGACCCATCTCAGCCTGGTCATCATCTGTTTGATCTGCTCCCCTCAGGTCAATGCTTCAGGTCAGTCACAGAAAATCAACTCGACTTAACAACTGTGCCATATAGGTTCTGAACACTGCCAAACAACACTGACTTTATGGGACTATTTGTATTATCCCTATGACATACTTACAGCCACTTCTACGGTTCCAGCTGTTATTGTATGCACTTATTGTATGTGCCGACCAGCTGCACTGCACTATTTGCAAAGAAATTCTGCATCTGTGCAATATCCTCAAGTTCAATTTTGCAGCTGCTTCCTGATTTAGTTAATTATTTATTGCGTTGTCTGATCTTAACGTTCAGTGTTTGAGCTTATTCATATTTTTTTCTCATCCTGGTATGAGATTTTAATTTTTATATTATTTATACTCCTAGTGTGTGTGAATGCAGCAACAGGATTGCTAACCAATATTCATTGTATACTGTGCAGTGACAGTAAAGGAATCTATCTTATGTCTGTAGACTGACAGGGTCTGAAAGTCGTGTTGATGATGGTCTTTTGACTGAAATGTTCACATTTTATTCAGATTTTTTCTCTGTATCATATTTTACAAATGTAATAAATTTACTTTTTTCATCTTCATCTGAAGAGCCTCTTTTTCTATATGTGGGACATGTTGTTCTTGATCACATGCATCTGACATCTTTTGAAAGGCCTGGAATTAAGAGAGCAAGTCCTACAACAATTTTTCATATGTAGATCCAGTCAGACTCCTCAGTGACAGAAGGGTCACAGATTGGACGTTTTATACCCTGGGACCGTCTGGCAGCCTGACCTATTCTGACACCACTGTCACCCTTTGTTGTCAGCGTCTTCTCTGCTCAACTCAGCCAGATTCCCTGGACAGAGGGGAAGAGGAGACAGACGAGAAACAGAGAGAAAAGGGCAGGAGATAGAGTGGTGGATAAAGTGTGGGGGAGAGAGAGAGTAAACTGTTCGTTGGCCAGTCATAACACAAACCTTGAGAGGGCATTTGAGAAAAATGCACAGCAGTCTACACACACATACTGTATGCACACTCGTGTGTACACACACAAGTATTAGTGGGAAAGCCATAGACAGAGACAGTGTGTGTAGAGCTGAGCCTGAATAAAGTACCAGTCAACTTTCACATTGTTTTCTACACTGAACTTGATGCAGGTCTATAGTTTTAAATAGAAAAATAGTAACCAAAATAACATATTAATGAAAATGTTTGAGAAATTAATTCCATTATTAGTTGCTGTATCAGGCTGCCAGCAATAGAAACTCTTAATGGCCCTCAAAGCCTTTGCATTTACAGTGTTTGTACATGTCTGCTCTATATCCTTTTAGTAAAATAATCTTGTTGTCTTTACATGGCTCAGGAAGGTGAAATATGGCCCAACACCACAGCACACTTCAACATTCTCTTCAAACCTGAGCAGGCCAAGCTTTACCAACAAATCATATACTGTGATGTCACAGGTCAGTACCTAGCTAGAAAATACTAATTTAGAATTTTACATACACCACCAGTCCAAAGGTTCTTTAAACTTTTTATTGGTAGTGTACAAATGCACAGTACTGCATGTATTAACACAGTAGGTGTTTAGTTTTTACTCATGCTAGCAGCATGGCACTAACATTAAATGGTCAGTACAGACTTTGTTCCCATATTGATACTTTACAACTTTTTAATGAATGAAATTATTCAATATATTTATGTTCCTCAGAGGAGAAATCCTATTGACTTGGTGATCCCATGAATTTTACTGTGGCACCACTGTACCTTATGTTTTTTTACTTTTTTATTTTTCAGGGAAATGTTGGACCCTCAGGGTGAATTGTAATAACTTTGGTGACCTCTCAACTTTCCTGCTGCCATCATCATATCATAATTTAATTTGGGCATATGACCAAATACAGTCTTATGCAAAAGTTTAGGCACCCCTTGATAAATAACAGATTTTGGTGATTTTTTATTTGAACAGATGTTAACACAGTTTCTCTTGGAAATGGAAAAAATGCACAATATTTTCTGCAAACAGTGATGCATAGTTACTTCTTATGCCATAAATTGAACAAAAATAAAAAATAAAAACATTATTATGGCATGGTGCAAAAGTTTGGGCACCCTAAGAGTTCCAGAGTCTCAAAGTCTCTCACAAGGTATCAGACCTTAATCAGCTCGTTAGATCTGATGCACAGCAACAGCTGTCATTGGTAAATGCCAATTTCAAAGCTGTACAAATACTTTGACTCTTCAAACCTTGTGCACACACTTGTGGACACCCAGCAACCATGGGTTCCTCTAAGCAGCTGTGTAAGACCCTGAAAGTGAAAGTTATTGATGCCCACAATGCAGGAGAAGGCTACAAGAAGATAGCAAAGCGTTGTCAGCTTGCAGTTTCCACAGTAAGAAATGTAATTAAGAGATGGCAGATCAGGGGAACTGTGGAGGTCAAGATGAGATCTGGAAGACCAAGAAAACTCTCGGACAGAACTGCTCGTATGCTGGTCAGAAAGACAAATCAAAACCCCCATTTGACTGCAAAAAACCTGCAGGAAGATTTAGCAGACTCAGGAGTGGTGGTGCACCGTTCCACTGTGCAGCGATGCTTGCACAGACAAGGCCTTCATGGAAGAGTCAGCAGAAGAAAACCTTATCTGCGTCCCCATCATAAAATCCAACGTCTGAAGTATGCAACAGGACATCTACAGAAGCCCGATGCGTTTTGGAAACAAGTGCTGTGGACTGATGAAGTTAAAATAGAACTCTTTGGACACAATCAGCAAAGGCATGTTTGGAGAAAAAAAGGAGCAGCATTTCATGAAAAGAACACCTTGCCAACTATTAAGCATGGGGGTGGATCTATCATGCTCTGGGGTTGTGTTGCAGCCAGTGGCACAGGAAACATTGCACGGGTGGAGGGAAGAATGGATTCCACTAAATACCAGCAAATTCTGGAAGCAAACATCACACCATCTGTAAAAAAGCTGAAGCTGAAAAGAGGATGGCTTCTACAACAGGACAATGATCCTAAACATACCTCGAAATCCACTATGGAATACCTCAAGAGACGCAGGCTGAAGGTTTTGGAATGGCCATCACAGTCCCCTGATTTAAACATCATTGAAAATTTGTGGGTAGATCTTAAAAGAGCTGTGCATGCAAGACGACCAAAGAATATTACAGAACTAGAAGCCTTTTGCAAGGAAGAATGGGAGAAGATCCCAAGTACAAGAATTGAAAGACTTTTAGCTGGCTATGAAAAGCGTTTGCAAGCTGTGATATCTGCCAGAGGAAGCTAAGGACATTCCTATTAACTTCTTTACTTAAATTAGCCAGTGTTAGCCCACGAGAATGCTAAACTGTATAGTAAACATTATACACTGCTCAAAAAAATAAAGGGAACACAAAAATAAGACATCCTAGATCTAAATGAATGAAATATTCTTATTAAATACCTTGTTCATTACATAGTTGAATGTGCTGACAACAAAATCACACAGAAATTATCAATGGAAATCAAATTTAGCAACCCATGGAGGTCTGGATTTGGAGTGACACCCAAAATTAAAGTGGAAAACAACACTACAGGCTGATCCAACTTTGATGTAATGTCCTCAAAACAAGTCAAAATGAGGTTCAGTAGTGTGTGTGGCATCCACGTGCCCGTATGACCTCCCTACAACGCCTGGGCATGCTCCTGATGAGGTGGCGGATGGTCTCCTGAGGGATCTCCTCCCACACCTGGACTAAAGCATCCCCCAACTCCTGGACAGTCTGTGGTGCAACGTGGCGTTGGTGAATGGAGCAAGACATGATGTCCCGGATGTGCTCAATTGGATTCAGGTCTGGGGAACGGGCGGGCCAGTCCATAGCATCAATGCCTTCGTCTTGCAGGTACTGCTGACACACTCCAGCCACATGAGGTCTAGCATTGTCTTGCATTAGGAGGAACCCAGGGCCAACCACATCAGCATATGGTCTCACAAGGGGTCTGAGGATCTCATCCCGTGACCTGATGGCAGTCAGGCTACCTCTGGCGAGCATATGGAGGGCTGTGCGGCCCCCTAAAGAAATGCCTCCCCACACCATTACTGACCCACTGCCAAACCGGTCATGCTGGAGGATGTTGCAGGCAGCGGAACGTTCTCCACGGCGTCTCCAGACCCTGTCACGTCTGTCACATGTGCTCAGTGTGAACCTGCTTTCATCTGTGAAGAGCACAGGGCGCCAGTGGCGGATTTGCCAATCTTGGTGTTCTCTGGCAAATGCCAAACGTGCTGCACGGTGTTGGGCTGTAAGCACAACCCCCACCTGTGGACGTCGGGCCCTCATACCACCCTCATGGAGTCTGTTTCTGACCGTTTGAGCAGACACATGCAGATTTGTGGCCCGCTGGAGGTCATTTTGCAGGGCTCTGGCAGTGCCCCTCCTGTCCCTCCTTGCACAAAGGTGGAGGTAGCGGTCTTGATACTGGGTTGTTGCCCTCCTACGGCCTCCTCCACATCTCCTGATGTACTGGCCTGTCTCCTCGTAGCGCCTCCATGCTCTGGACACTACGCTGACAGACACAGCAAACCTTCTTGCCACAGCTCGCATTGATGTGCCATCCTGGATGAGCTGCACTACCTGAGCCACTTGTGTGGGTTGTAGACTCCGTCTCATGCTACCACTAGAGTGAAAGCACCGCCAGCATTCAAAAGTGACCAAACCATCAGCCAGAAAGCATAGGAACTGAGAAGTGGTCTGTGGTCACCACCTGCAGAACCACTCCTTTATTGGGGATGTCTTGCTAACTGCCTATGCTTTCCACCTGTTGTCTATTCCATTTGCACAACAGCATGTGGAATTGATTGTCAATCAGTGTTGCTACCTAAGTGGACAGTTTGATTTCACAGAAGTGTGATTGACTTGGAGTTACATTGTGTTGTTTAAGTGTTCCCTTTATTTTTTTGAGCAGTGTACTTGTTAAACATCAGCATGTTAGCATTTTCACTATGAGAATGTCTGCATGCTAATGTTGGTATTTCGCTTGAAACCACGCTCTGCCAAAACACAGTCTCAGAGAGTCTTTGTCTTGTTATTGTTATCAAACAATATCTGGGGCTTATTCCAGAAAGTAGGAGAGAAGCTTAAGCCTGACCTATGAGTTGACTAACCCTGAGATGGAAACCTCTGGGTTTTCGGTTCCAGAGCAGCTGTTCAGAGGCAGTTCAGTCAACTATGAGTATGTTCAGTCTGAGTTAAGTGCCGATGTGATGACTATAAAAAGCCTGATCAATGACGCTCCGATGTTACGATTCACATAGCAGTAGGTAAATAATTAGCATTAGCAGAGCTGCTATATTACTCCAGTGGACAAAATGCTGGTGGCAGCAGAAGATAAAATCAAACATACAATTATTTATAGACCTCTTCAAAGTATCTTGTACACAGACTAGATACAGAGTTTCCAAAGTTATCTTTTCAGTGTTTGAATGAGGATAAATTTAGGGCTGAGTGTGGGTAAGAGTGGGATTTAAGCTCAAATTACAAGAAGCTACGTTTGATGAACCAAAACCTTCTTAGAACTAGAGGATGACTTCTGTCTTTTGTTTGTTCTTCACCTTGGAGCTGATTGCTATAACAACTTAAAGCAGACAGCACAGCCTTGCTACGAATCAATAGCTTTGCCTTTCTCATAAAAGATCCTCCTTCCCTGAGTGGTTTGTGCCTTGGTGGAGACAAAGGTTAGACAGACAAGTCTGGATGGCAAACCTTGTCTGTTTGCGTACCTAGTATCAGAGGACACCTGCTCCTCTCATCTACAGTATGTCTATTTTCTCTCCCTGTCCTCAGTATATGATATCCTCAATGAAACCTTGTTGAAACACCACTAATGGACCTCTAAATCTTAAACACTTTAACCACTGGAGGACTCATTGCTACTTGATCTCATTTTCATAATGGACAATCCATTCATGAGTCCCCAGTATATTCAGCTCATCCCAGTGGTAGTAAAAGGTAGTTGGCAAATTTGCATGTGGCCTTCATATGTATATTCTGAGCCGGAAGCCACATTTGCATTCATTTCCATGTTATCTGAGGCAGGTGATGACCTGACCAGCCCAGGTCTGTGACACCTGGACTGCAGACTACTGGACCATGATTCCTCACTTTGCAAAAAGCTTCTGAAGCATTCTAAGCAAAACTGTAGGACGGATCTCTTACTTTTTTGACAGAGAAAGAAGTGAGGCAACAGCAAAGTGAATGTGCAGCAAGTTAAAAAACCCCCAATATGTTTAGACATTTTATATTTGCACCAGACATTGATTGAGCATTTTAAACCTGCAACATAAAAATAAACCTTTCAAATCAAGCATTAAAATTAATGTTAAATATGTTCACTGTTATTTGACAAAATTCATCTCTGAACATTAAATTATCACTCTCTATATATTTGTGTTCACTTTTCCATAGATTCTAAAAATATATTTGTTTTTCTGTCTTTAACTTTGTTGTGAACCTCTCTCTGTGTCTGTCTGTGTCTCTCCTTAGGCCGTGAATCTCGCTTACCTCTCACAGTCAAGGGTGAGGGCTTGGGCCCTAAACTGCAGCTCAAATATAATCTGATGGACATGAAAAATGTATTTATTGGTGACAAAAACTGTTATGAGGTAAGAAAAATTAAGCCAGAGTGAACAGTTGGGCACTTCAGGAAAATAACTGGACATGGTAGTATGTGGTGAACTACCATTTATTGCCAAAAATGTGGATCTGAATTCACTAAAAAGCTTGTGTTTTATAGTAAGTCTTTTAAGATGCTTGGGGCTGACAAACTCAAGCTAAAAAGCTGACAAATTCACAATGGTCTGAAATTAAGTATGCTGCCTTTGTAATGCTTATGATTTTTGATCTTTAATTTCTATTCAAGCTGAACCCATAAAGCATAAATGCAGTACATGCACATCACTCGAGGACTCATTAGCAAACATGACTTCGGTGTGTGAGTAGATCTTTGTTTTGTGTCCAGGTGCTGGTGTCCAACAAAGGACTCATTGATGCTCCTTTCAGGCTGTCAAGACCCGACACTGCTTTTGGCCGCTGTTTCTCCTTCAGTCCTGAGGAAGGTGTTGTTCCTGTTGGGGCCTCCCAGATTGTTGAAATTACTTTCCACAGTTACATCTTGGGGACATTCTCTGAAGACTTGCTGCTAACTGTCACAGCACAGCCACAACCACTTACCTTGACCTTCAGGTGACGTTAGCTAGTGTTGTAACTCAGATTGTAAACAGTCAGAATTGTCTTATAATATATAAATATAAAATCTCAGCTTTAAAAATGGTGGTCGTGTTACCAATAAAAATAATCACTTTCCACTCAGTAGGTATTTACAATGAGAATCTTGGTGTTGTTGTTGCTGGTGACAGCTCATGTCTCTGTCTTCTCTTTCAGAGGTTGTGTCATTGGTCCTACATTCCACTTCAATGTTTCAGAGCTCAACTTTGGCGATGTAGCGTTTGGTGGGTTAAGTTGCTGCATAAGATGTATTATACTCGCAAGCATCACACCATTCTGAAAAAATATCTTCCACTTTAGCCGTCTAGTTATTTCCTACTTTTTGTATTTTTCCTTTTCTCATCTTTACTCTCTTTCTTTCTGTCTCTCTCTCTCCATGCAGGCTTCCCATTAACATCAATTTGTACCCTCTTCAACACCTCCCTGGTGCCAGTAACCTTTGCCCTACGTGTTCTGGGAGATGGGTTGGGGTGTCCCAGTGTTACCAGTGCCCAACAGGTGTCTGAGTTGTCCAGAAACAATTGGCAAGGCAGTGTTGCTCGAGATCTTCATGTGCGGCCTGTGGAGTTCACCGTCAGTCCTCCTGCAGGTTCTGTGCGTGCCATGTCAGATGTCACCATTAAGGTAAATTTAAAGATGGGGTATAACCCATTTAAATTCATTGACAAGTCTTTGTAAAGTATGTATGACAAGATGTGGAAATGTACTAGTTTTGCTGTATACTACAGTGAAGCATTCTGATAACAGTGATAATAGTTTTTATTACTGTCAATACCATGATTATTGCCATTTTCAGAGGGCACTGTGAACACAACACAGTTTTCTTGTCTAAGTTAGCGGTTTTATTTTTATAGACCACAAGCGGGAGCATTTTAACCAGTCTAATACAGACACAACATGTCCAACGAAGTAGCCTGTCTATTTTTTGCTTCTCTGGCCATAGCTTTCTATGCAAACATTAGCTTGTTTGCAGTTAGTTTTTGGGCACTGAGTCATAAAGCTCTGAGAAAGGGAGACATCATTCATTTACATGACTGACAAAGAGGTATTTCCCTGCATCAAGTTCACACATACAGGTCAGCTTCAACTCTGAGGTAATTGTTAATAGTACAGAGACGGGCAAGCAGTGCTAGTGGCATGAAAGACCCTAATGTACAGTAACTTTATGTGCTGGGGTCCATCGCTGCTGTATTCTAACTATTAATACCCAGCAGGAAGCAGTTAGTGATTTACAGTGGGTACGGAAAGTATTCAGACCCCCTTAAATTTTTCACTCTTTGTTATATTGCAGCCATATGCTAAAATCATTTAAGTTCATTTTTTTCCTCATTAATGTACACACAGCACCCCATATTGACAGAAAAACACAGAATTTTTGACATTTTTGCAGATTTATTAAAAAAGAAAAACTGAAATATCACATGGTCATAAGTATTCAGACCCTTTGCTCAGTATTTAGTAGAAGCACCCTTTTGAGCTAATACAGCCATGAGTCTTTTTGGGAATGATGCAACAAGTTTTTCACACCTGCATTTGGGGATCCTCTGCCATTCCTCCTTGCAGATCCTCGCCAGTTCTGTCAGGTTGGATGGTAAACGTTGGTGGTCATGTTTAACATGTCATTTTGCTTCAGTGGCATTTTGGTCTGTTTCACCCAGATAGATGAGTCGGTGTGAAAATGTGGGAAAGATGGTCAAAAATGTGATTTAATGTGCTTCTCTTAAAAGCAGTTGTAGGTTTGGTGGTTGAATAAAAATGGGAAGGAGAAAGCTGTGTGACCACACAAAGCAGTTTTGAGTTTTGAGATTCAGTAAATTTGCCACTTCCCCTTTTTTTAACTGTCTTCTTTTTTATGTGGTGTCAAATCTGTGAAAAAGAAAACATTTGTTTGTACATGACCCGGTTGTACTTTTCCTCAGATGCCTGGTAATATCTAACATCTTCAGAATGAATCTAAATGGTAAATCATAATAATGTGGTTTATGATGACATATGAGTGCACTTTTCAAAGTACTCTACATCAGGATATTTCATTCTGACTGACAAGATGTACTTAACATGTACTTACCAAACAAACAAAAACACTATCTTTATAATAATGACCCTCATCAGTCAAATTAAATATTCTTCATATTTTATATTAGAAAACCAGACAGGAACCCATTGAGCATCTCTGGAGAGACCTGAAAATTGCTGTCCACCAACGTTTACCATCCAACCTTACAGAACTGGAGAGGATCTGCAAGGAGGAATGGCAGAGGATCCCCAAATGCAGGTGTGAAAAACTTGTTGCATCATTCCCAAAAAGACTCATGGCTGTATTAGCTCAAAAGGGTGCTTCTACTAAATACTGAGCAAAGGGTCTGAATACTTATGACCATGTGATATTTCAGTTTTTCTTTTTTAATAAATCTGCAAAAATGTCAAACATTCTGTGTTTTTCTGTCAATATGGGGTGCTGTGTGTACATTGATGAGGAAAAAATTGAACTTAAATGATTTTAGCATATGGCTGCAATATAACAAAGAGTGAAAATTTAAGGGGGTCTGAATACTTACCGTACCCACTGTAAGTGGTGTGCACTCTAGAAAGTCTAAATACACAGGTGCATCAGATCAAAAACTCTGACCATAAAACAAAACACACATTAACGATGCCTAACCACAATCGCATTTACCAAGACTGATATGAGTAATGCTCAGTGCATCTTTTGAATGTTATGTGGTCTGTGTGTATTATATGTACTATACAGGTAACCCTGTGCTCCAACACAGTCGGGCGATACAGACTGGCTCTGGTGGTGGATGTTGAGGGTGTTGGGGAGGAGATCATGACTCTGCCTGTCATTGCTAGGTCAGATACAGTACAGATGTGAACACACACAAAATTTGATGTGCAAACATATTAGTTGAAGTTAGTTTTGTGGTATCTTGCAAATTGCAGAAAAAAATACTCTGCATATTAAGATCTTAAACAAATATTATTAGGTCAGTTTTACTGTATTTATTTATTTTTTGTCTTGTGCCATGAAACCATTTTTCTATTTTGAAAAGACGGTTCCTAAAAATGAATGAATAAACATGAATTTCAATCCCTCTGTCCTTGTAAGATTGCATACCAAGTCTTCTAACATGATAAATATGAAAATTTGTTTTGACGTAAAATGTGCTACAGCTGTGCCAAAAGATGTCATAAGACAGCAGCGGTTCATCTAGCTTTTTACAAACTTGCTTTTTAAACCCTTTCATTTAAAGTACTGTAGGATTTTTATAGCAGTAACCACTGCCTTGCTTCTGGCTGTCACTGAGGCTTTGACAAGTTGTGAATGTGGTCCATTGAACTTCCATACAGGTGTCAAAAATGAGTGGGATATATGTTAAATAGTTAGACCCTAATTTACATAATAATACATTTGAATGTCACCTGTACCACCACTCAGAATAGGGTAATGGTAATTTGACTTCCTCACAGCAATCACTGTCATTGTAAATTTATGAATCAGTACTAATTAATACAGGGCAGGTTTGCCATGATGTCATGCAATTAAAGTTATGACTCATAAATAAGCCTCAGACCTTCTCTCACTGTTTCTCACTATCTCTGTCTGTCACTCCATTTCTTTTCTCTCCACTGATAGGTGTGTTGTTCCTAAGATTGTGGTGGAGACTCCAGTGTTGGACTTTCAAAGGTGTTTCCTTGATTACACTTATCAACAGAAAGTGCAGCTAACCAACCCCAGTACTCTGCCTGTCTGCTATGGCTTGCTTGACCAGGTTAAGTAGATCACTGCAGCAACTGAAATTATTGATAAATCTCTATTCCCTTATTGGATCATTCCTTCCTCCTTGATCCTTGTTCAGCCTGGAAGTTGTTCTAAGCCGCCAGTTTGAAGGGCATCCCAAAGTACTTTTTCCTGCTTTGAGGAGTGAGGAGACTGCCTGGAAGAGCCATGAGGGGATACATGAGCGGATCCTTGCCGGAAATATTTTATGAGCCAAATATGTTCCTTTATTGGAAGTCAGTTGGTGATTGGACGCATCAGATGAAGGATCAGAGGAAAGAACAATAGATGTCTGTATACTGTCAAAGTGTTTCCTCAGTTTCTCTCTCTGCATTTTCTCCTTGCTTCTTTTCCTCACATCATACATGGGTAGGACTAAGATGCAAGGAAAAAAGCAAATGAGAGAAATGTGGATGCAGTTAAGGGAATTGGGATTTACCTGACATATTTACACTGCAGCAGAGAAGAGAAACTCTAGTCAGATAACCAAAAACAAGTGCCATGCATTCATATTTAATACCATGGGTCACTTCCAGCTCATTACTACAAACTGTACACATATGGTACAAGTGAATTACATGACAAAAATATCACACCTTAAAGGAATAGTTAAACACTTTGGGTAATATTAATTTGCTTTTCTGCCACAAGTTAGATGAAAAGACCATTCTCATTTCTGTCAAGTTACAATACAAGTTACAACTGAATTACACATAATGTTCATATGTGGTGACTTCAATATAGATTTGTTAAATCCTAACAAGCACACAGGAACTGAGGAGTTTATTAACACATTATATAGATGCAGTTTATACCCAAAAATTACAAAACCAAGTAGAGTAACAACCCAG